TGCATAACCAACGACACCGCTCGGCGTCGCTTGTCGTTCCACCTGTCCGCAGCTGCTTGCAGTCGCTCGATGCTAGACGATCATCGTTCGCTTCTCGCCTTGTCCTTCACCGGCTCGTTACCGCAGCTGCCTCATCGCCGCGCGAAATGCACCGCGGTTCGAGTGCGTCTAGAAGGGAAGGCGTTCGTGCAGGCTGGCGCATTGCAGGTCGTCCTAGGCGGCGATCACGCTGGCTGGCGCACTGAAAATTGCTCCCCTAAACCTTAGACTAAGAAACGGAGCATCTAGAATTGGGACTTGCGAAGTGAGGACACGGCTGGGGTAAATAACGAGAAGATTGTGTTGAAGGTGGTTGGGCGATGAGTTAGTAGTGGTGTGTGGGGGTTGTGTGGTTCATTCCCAAACAGGGCTGACGATTCAAGGGCAAATGCCCTTAATGCCCTGAACATTAAGGGTTGGGTTTGGCCCAGCTTCCGAATTTTAAGGGTCGGCTTTGAGGCCAGCCCGTCCCCGCAAAGTGCTGGTTGTGTTGAGGGCCTAACCCGGATTTCAAGTGCAGATCCCGTGGCTAGCCCATTCGCTCACCAGTCCCCCCACCTCCTCCCAGCCACTTCCCTACTTCCTTTTCCCATCCCCGTCAAATCCATCGACATGTTTCGTACCTCAGCCGATTGCCTAGCTGGCTTTTAGTAGTTTGCCTAGGATAACGGACCCGAAGAGATGTAGGTTTTCCATAGCGAAAGTGCAGAAAAGTTGGTAGCCCTGATTTCAAGTGCCAGGTTTGCTCTCAGCCCGTAAATTTCAGGGCAACTTTTGGGGCACCTCAGCCTCTCAAGTTCTGGCTCCAAACCAATCGACAGACCTGTTCCCAAACCGAACTTGTGCATGAAGGTGTTTGTGTGGCAGGTTGTGTGACAGGTGGCGACAGGTGGCAACATGAAGCGTGAGAAGGTTCGGAAGACACTTTGTATATCCAAACAAAACTTAATTGTGAACAACCAGTTTAGCATAGCGGCTAACGTGTTGCGACCTTGAGCGAGAGGTGCGGTGATCAATTCTTGAGGTTTGAGGGTGGGAACTTGGAAATTGGGCTGCTTAGGTTTGCGCTGTTCCTTCAGGGTATTCTGTAGTGTTCGCCAAATGTGCCAGACAAGTATCGAACCCCCGACCTTCCGCATAAACTTTTTTTGGGACAGATTTTGGACAAGGGTAATTTTGGATAGAAACTGTCAATGTGTTCTAAGTAACATGTTATAGGAATGATATACAGAATACTGGAAATTCACTAAAGCATACAGGTTGGTAGTGTTTCAGTAGGCAAACGATCACATCCAAATCCCTACTAAAGGAGTCCACCAGTTACGCATACTAAAATGGCGTTCGACATTTTTGAGATGCCATTACTAGGAGTGGGAACGTCGTGGGGTTGGGACTCCCACGACGTAGTTTGTCTTTGCGATGCTGTGCGTGGCGCTCACACGCTGTGCGTGACGCTCACACGCTGTGCGTTCAACGCGGGAATGTTGCGCATGTCTCGGCGTGGAAACCGTCGCCAGATGGGACTCTCCCAAGCCCAGCGGCTGCCCAAATCCAAGCTAGGCACGCGCGTGTTTCTATGGAACAGCGGGCGAGGTTTACGATGTGTTTGGGAGTGGGAGGGCCTCTTGCGAGGTCGAAGGCACTCAGGGGGATTCAATCTGGCGGGATGACATTTTGTATTTTCGCGCCAGGTCGAATCAAATGCGGGAGTTGCTCGTTCCGCATGCTTCGCGTCGCAGCGCAGGTTGGAGTGAAGCGACTTACCGCACAGCACCCCACTGTATGCAACAATCAGTTCTCAACATTCGCGGCCGATGGTTGCGGTGTGATGCCAGGCAAATCGCAGGTTCGAATGTGCCATTGTTGTTACAAGCATTGATAAGAGTTAGAAGTACATTGATCTGGTAAAAAAGGAACTATTTGTGTACACTATATTGGGTGGACCTGGACCACCAATCCAAGCGAGGGCCATTTGTGAAGGTAGAGCTGCAGGAGAGACACACCTGCACTGACCTGGGTGAGCTGCGGAGCTATCTTGGCTTGCAGATCACCCGGGACAGACCACGGCGCACCATCACCCTCACTCAGTCACACATGGTGCACCAGGTCCTTCAGCGCTTCCGCTTCACTTGGTCCTCGCCACAGCCCACTCCTCTGTCTACCGGCCACTCGCTCTCAGCTCCACCTTCGGACGAGTCCGTAGAGCCGAGTGGTCCGTACCCAGAGCTTGTGGGTTGCCTCATGTACCTGATGACGTGCACACGACCTGACCTCGCGTACCCTCTCAGCCTCCTGGCTCGCTACGTGGCACCTGGTCGACACCGAAAGGTGCACTTTGATGCTGCGAAGAGGGTACTGCGTTACTTGTGCAGCACATCGGGCATGGGGCTCGTGCTTGGAGGACGGGGTTCGGTGGTTCTCACAGGACACTCTGACGCTTCTTGGGCCGACGACCAGACGACTCAGCGTTCGTCACAGGGTTACACCTTCAGTCTTGGCGCTGGTTCTGTCTCGTGGAGGTCCACTCGTTCTTCTTCTGTGCTTGGTTCCAGCTGTGAGGCCGAGATCTACGCTGGGGCCATGGCTGCACAGGAGCTACGCTGGCTGACCTACCTGCTGACCGACTTGGGGGAGCGGCCTCGTTCTCCTCCAGTTCTGTACGTCGACAACAAGGCAATGCTTGCCTTGTGTCGCGAGCAGAGACTGGAGCACAGAACGAAGCACATTACTCTTCGCTACTTCCTTGCGCGTGAGCTGCAGCAGCGTGGTCAGCTGCGCCTTGCTTACGTGGCCTCTCGGGCCAACACTGCTGATGTCTTCACCAAGGCCCTTGGGGCTGGTGATCATCACCGTTTCTGCACTGCTCTTGGGCTTGTGCCCACTCTGCCTCACCTGTTGGTTGCTTGACTTGCTCTTGTTGTACACTGCTATATATCTTTATGCCTGCATGTTTTCTCTTGCTAGGTTGTGATCAGTGTACTGCCTTGCTATTATATACCTCTGCATGTGAACTGGCCTTGTGGCCACTTGCTTGTGCTCAGAATGCGTGGTGACTTTGTGATCCACCCTGAGCTGTGTTCTCTTCTGCAGACTGGTCTTGTGACCGCTTGTTGTGTTTGCTGTCCCCTACTTTGCCTATGGGGGTGTGTCAGATTACAATTGTATCTCTAGGCTACAGTAGGGTCACTCCTTAGTGAGTACAACACTTTAGGGTTAGGTTTCCCCTACTTGTACTCACCTCTTGCCTAGTCCAATCCATCATTCCTAGTTGTATTCTTGACAGGGAATGTTGCGCATGTCTCGGCGTGGAAACCGTCGCCAGATGGGACTCTCCCAAGCCCAGCGGCTGCCCAAATCCAAGCTAGGCACGCGCGTGTTTCTATGGAACAGCGGGCGAGGTTTACGATGTGTTTGGGAGTGGGAGGGTCTCTTGCGAGGTCGAAGGCACTCAGGGGGATTCAATCTGGCGGGATGACATTTTGTATTTTCGCGCCAGGTCGAATCAAATGCGGGAGTTGCTCGTTCCGCATGCTTCGCATCGCAGCGCAGGTTGGAGTGAAGCGACTTACCGCACAGCACCCCGCTGTATGCAACAATCAGTTCTCAACATTCGCGGCCGATGGTTGCGGTGTGATGCCAGGCAAATCGCAGGTTCGAACGTGCCATTGTTGTTACAAGCATTGATAAGAGTTAGAAGTACATTGATCTGGTAAAAAAGGAACTATTTGTGTACACTATATTGGGTGGACCTGGACCACCAATCCAAGCGAGGGCCATTTGTGAGGCATGAAACACCTTTGTGTCCTAGTAAAGCCTCGGGTAAAACCCAAGGCAGTGAGGGGTGGTCATTCTGAACAAGAGTATAGCAAGCATGTCCCTGTACGGAAAGCTTGAGTTACTTCACTGCAGCTCTATCCATCACGCCACACAAGGATACACCTACACTGCCTGTTATAGCCATACTTTTGGGGGTTGCAGAAGCTGGCATTGTCAAATCAAGCATCTCAAACATTGCATTGCAGCAGTACACACAAAAGAATCGAAGCTGCTGCCATCCTACCCAGCAGTAGTACCTTCCTATCAGCAAGGCAGAATAGAGGTCTCGTGTTGTACATCACGTGCATCTTACGGTAACACGAGAGCTAACGGCGAGTATTGGAGGCAATGCAGTGCAGCCCCGCAAAATCTAGAGGTGGTGGTAGGTATCTAGCAGAGTACGGCTCGCATTGCATCGCACCGCATGGCATGGCATGGCATGGCGGGCTAGATGTACACGTTTCTGACGTCATTCTGGCCGAAGGGCACACCGCAACCGCACCGCACCGCACCACATCGCACCGCATCTCATGGCATGGCATGGCATGGCATGGCATGGCATGGGGCGGGCTAGATGTACACGTTTCTGACGTCGTTCTGGCCGAAGGGCACACCGCAGCCGGGGCACTTGCGGTGGCGCAACTCTAGGTTCTTCTGGATGCATGGCGAGCAAAAGAGGTGGAAGCACTTGGTTATCACCACCTGTCAGTTGAGGGGGGAAAAGGAGGGGGAGAGGAGGGGAGCAGCCACGGGAGCTATTGAGATTGAGCTTCCACAACTGCAGCGCCACACTCAAGGTTTTTTATCATCTCAGCCATTTCCTAAACAGAAGTGGAAGCACTTGGTTATCGGGGAAGGGGGTCGGATAGGAGGGAAGCAGGAACAAGAACTGCTTAGATTGGGGCTTGCACAGCTGCAACTCTTCCGGTTCCACAAATCCTACCATTTTGGCCAGATCTTGGAGATCACCACACTGCACATTTTCGTTTTCTTTGTGGACAAATGTGCTGCCCACACTTTTTTTTCCTTGTGGGCCCAAAGAAAGCCAGATGTCAAAGAGTAATATTTTGTAGGCCTAACGTCTTTCTGTTGGTCGAGCCACGCCAACTGCACTTGTACTTGGGGCGCCTCACATGCAGACTCACCTCTTTCTGTCTGTCGTGGCACACGGAACATTTCATGATCGACTTGTATTGCCGCAGCTCCTCCTGCAACTGCTCCACCGATGGCCCCCCCGACCCCCCGCCCCGCTCCATCGACTGCCCCAGCCTCGCCAACCGCGCTGACAGCGCGTCCCTCTCCTCCTCCACTCGCCTCCGCTTGTTCCTGTGAGATACACGGGTAGGATGATAAGCGTGAGCGGATGGAGAGCAGTGCGGCTTAAGTGTGCACCCCCCTGGCCCTTTGAAACCTCTCCCTGCTCTCTATGAGTCATCGACTGCCCCAGCCTCGCCAACTGCGCTGACAGCGCGTCCCTCTCCAACTCAACTCGCCTGCGCTTGTTCCTGTGGTGGCATGAAATCGAAGGGGATCACAGTGAACGGATGGATTTTGAGTCGACTCAAAAGTCTCAGCCTTCACTCGCCTCCAATTGTTCCTCAAACGGACGGATGGAGAAAAAAACAACTCAATTGTATGAAACAGTTTCGACTCTGAAACCCCGACTCTCCTCTCTCATCACCTGAAACAGTTTCGACGGCCGAGACGTCTTGATGTCGGCACTCGCTCGCACACTCTCCCACGCGCGCACACGCACGCACACACACACAGACACAGAAGCACATAGACAGCAACACACATTCACCTTCCACCCTCCAGCTTCATCCGAAACCACCTGCAGTCCCCCTGTCGCACTTCATCTTCCTCTCACTCACACGCATTCCCCCCTCTCCACCATTACCCACACACCCACCTTTAGCTCTCCAGTTTCTCCTCCACCTCTGCACCATCTGTGTGTTCCTCGCAGCCAGTCCACCTCTCCCCGAAGGTCTTTCATACTGTCACAAACCGCTGGTTCCCAAACAAACACACGCCAACCCACCTTTCGCCCTCCAGTTTCTCCTCCACCTCCACCATGTGTGTGCTCCGCGCCGCCAGGTCCTTCTGAAGCCCCTCCATCGCCTCTCTAGCAGCCGCTGTCTCCCTTTCCATCTCCGCCTGCTTCCTCTTGCCCGCCTCCACACTGCCCGCCATGCCCCTCGCATCCTCCACAGCCTTCCCCAGCTGCTCCCACGCCGCCTTCACCTGGGGTCGGGGGTGGCGGGAGGGGTGAACGGGGAAAGAAAAGGAGGGGGGCGAGTGGAAGGGAGAGGGGAGAGGATGTGTAAGGGAGAGGGGAGAGGATGTGTAAGGGAGAGGGGAAGGAGGGCAGGAAGGGGAGATGGAAGTGGGTTAGTTGGTGCTGTCTCCCGCCTGCTTCCTCTTCCCTGCCTCCACACTCCCCGCCATGCCCCTCGCATCCTTCACCGCCTTGTGCCCTCCACGCCATCCCCAGTGGGAGAAGGGTGGAAGAGGTGCAAATTCCTCCAAATCTACACTACACACCTGCACACCCCTCCACATCCCCCTGCACATTGGCAAACCCTTCCACACCTGCTCTTCCAACCGTGCCACCAGCTGCTTGTGCAGTCAGAGGCAGCCGTGGCGTGCTGCATGCGCGTCTCCATGCTCTGCTTCTCCGCCTGCACCTGACAGGCCTACCCGCACACCCCTCCGCATCCCCCCTGCACACCTGTATACCCCAACACTGCACACCTGCTCCTCCAACCGCACCACCCGCTGCTTGTGCACGTCCGCGGCAGCAGTAGCGTGCTGCATGCGCGTCTCCATGCTCTGCTTCTCCGCCTGCAGCGACGCCTGCAGCTGGCGGGCCTTGACGCCCTCCGCGATGAGCTGTGTGTTGTACTCGTCCCGCTCCGATATCTGCTGCAGCAGCCGCCGGTTCTGCGACTGCATCTCCTCGTAAGCCGCTCCTATTGTCTGGGGAGAAGGGAGGCAGGGAAGGAGGGAGGGAGGCAGGGAGAGGGAGCGAGGGAGGGAGGGAACGAAGGAGAGGCGAGATTGACGCCTTAAGCCCCCCGGTTCTGCGACTGCATCTCCTCGTAGGCCGCTCCTATGGTCTGCGGGCATGCGGGGACGTAGGGAGCGAGCGAGGGAAGGAGAGGCAGGGAGAGGAAGAGGAAAAGAGGAAGGATATGGAAGGACTTGACCCCACCGGTTCTAAAACTGCATATGCTGGTAGAGTGCGGCAGTTATGGCATGGCCGCAACATGACCATGACACCAATCTGCCAGCCAAAGGAGGCAACATGACCGTGCACATCCGCGTAGTAACTACAGGTGATGGCAACACAGGATGGTGACTCTGGGAGCAGGCTAGCCTGTCGGTGCCTTCACCTTGCAAGACTGTGCACACTCCAAGAGAATTCATGTGCGAGAACAGAAGGAATACGAACCTCTATCTCGGTTATGTACGCTTCTCCCTCCTCCTCCTTGGCCTTCACCGTCTCTTGAAGCTCCACTATTCTCCTGCGGCACAGGTGACACGCAGTAGAGACAGATGGGCGGAGGCAGATAACACGGGGCAGGGGGGGATAGGCGGAGGTCAGGGACCAAGAGCGGGATCACGAGACCAGGAGATACCACAGGCACTCTGCACAGCTGAAGACTAAACATCGGCAGCTATAGCAGGACGAAATGCAGCAGCTAGGATCACATGCACACACACACTCTCTGCCTCGCCCCTCATGCTGCCGCAGCTGAATAGTCTCCGCCCCTGCTGCCACCAGCCACTGCTGGCACACTGCTGCTCACAGCAGATGTGCTCAAGCTACTGTCCCGCTGCTAGCTGCTACACCAATGATGTTACCTATGGGCCCAAGACCACACGAAGACCACTCACTTCTCCGTCTCGTCCAGCTGTTGCCGCAGTTGGCTGATCTCCGCCTCTGCTGCCACCAGCCGCTGCTGGCAAGCGGCCTCCGCCTCGTTCGCGGCCTTCACTCTCAATGCCAGCCCGTGCTCGTCCAGCTCCGCGCGCAGCTGCGCCACCTGCGCCAACGCACGCACCTCCGCTGATTTCACTTCCTTCATGTCCCTGTGGGGGGGGGGGGGGGGGGGAAGGGGAGAGCGGGGAAGGAGAATGGCTGCTGCACTGCACATGTGCTGGTGCTCGCAACCCCGCTGCCCTCACCTCCTTCCTGTCTCTCATGGAATGAGAAAGTAAAATTCCTTTCCTCAATTCAGCAACAGGTCCAACCCAGCGGTGTGAGGCGCTGGTCAGCAGGGCATCAAAAGGGCAATGTGGTGGGGAAAGCTACACAGGGTACGGTGGTCAGTGTGGAGAATGGCTTGCCGGGGAGTCAGTGAATTCGCGTTCGTACATGGCCCACATGTTTGAATAAGCATTGTGGGAGGCCGGCAGGTAGGGGTAAACTTGCCTGGCATCAGTGGACTCGCGCTCAAACATGTCCATGAACATCTGTAGCTCGCACTCGGAGCTCCTCATGTAAGAGAAACTCGCTACAGACTACAACTCTCAAACGTTGACTTGCCTGGCATCGGTGGGAACATGTCCATTAACATGTTTGAATAAGCATGTAAGAGGTTGACAAATAGAGATTAACTTGCCTGGTGTCAGTGGACTCGAGTTCGCACATCTCCATAAACATCTGCAGCTCGCACTCGGAGCTCCTCAAGTGGGTCTTTTAAGTGCCCCAAATGTTGGAATGAACATGCGGGAGGACAACTGTAGAGATGAACTTGCCTGGTATCGGTGGACTCGCGCTCGAACATCTCCATGAACATCTGCAGCTCGCACTCGGAGCTCTTCAATTGCGCCACCTGCAGCAGCAGCACACACCGTCACATGGCAACCGTAAAAGACGTCAAGCCAATGCAGGCCGGCAGATGCAGCCGATGCAGCAAAGATGGGGAGGGGCTGATGGAAGGAGGTATGGAAGGGGGACTGCTGCACCCTACTGATCATGAGAATTCAGGAGCACACAGATGGAAAGCGTTCCGCACAGCAGAGACAGTTTCCATGGCATACCTCTGCCTTCAACGCCTTCTGCTCTGATGCTTGCGACAGAATTCGTTTTCCTAGTTGCTCTATCTCTTTTGCCTGCAGGGACGAACAATCACACGGAGCACAGCCAAAGGGAAATGATAAGCCGGCCAGCCCCAGCTGCAGTACGACAAAACAGTGAAAGCAGACAAAAACGGCCGCCCTTGCAGAGCTGGATCGAAAGCTCACTTTTCTACTGAGAATGGACTTGAGGGGCTTGTTATAAGCACGAAGTGCGACGAGCGCTTATAATCGCAAAGTCTTTATGCTTGGTGAGCTGCGCCTGCATCATGCTCATCTCCTTGTGCAGCTGGCTGGTGCGTGGGAGGGGAGCTCAACTCACCTTTCTACTGAGAACGGACTTGAGGGTCTCGTTATCGGCGCGCAGCGTGATGAGCTGTTGTGAGGCGTCTTTATGTTTTGTCAGCTGCGCCTGCATCATGCTCATCTCCTTGTGCAACGTCGCTATCATCACCTTCAACTCCGCAACCGTCTCCTTCCTCCCTGCCACCCTCAACACACCACACCCACACAGCAGCACACCACACACAACGCCACCACACACAACCACACACCCACCACAGCACACCACACACGCACCCACCACGCTTGTCAGAGCCAGCTTCATGCAGGTCAGGACTACCTGAATCCCGAGCGATACTAAATCCCAGCGAATCGAGCTGTATTCACAAATCACAGCACAATGAACTACCCCGCATGCATGAACTCCCAGCATGCGGCGCATCCCCTTCGCTGCACGCCTGCTCGGCCATATTCAAAACTCTCCACATCTCTGCATGATTCATCTCTGCATAATCGCTCACAAGCCACACAGCGTAGCGTACCGAGTGACGAGTGCGCCTCCTCCAGGCGCTGCTGCAGCACGTCGCGCTCCCTGCACGCGAGCTCCAGCTTCTTCTCCAGCTCCTCTCCTCCACCCTCCCCTCTCCGCCAGCTGGCACGCGTGCTGAGCGACTTTGAGACCAAACAACTCAAAGCGTACCAAGAGACGAATGTGCCTCCTCGAGACGTTGCTGCAGCACGTCGCGCTCCCTGCACGCGTGCTCGAGCTTCTTCTCCAGCTCCTCAACCCTCGCCTCATAATCTCACCATTCTCGCTCACAAGCCACACAGCGTAGCGTACCAAGAGACGAGTGTGCCTCCTCCAACCGCTGCTGCAGCACGTCGCGCTCCCTGCACGCGAGCTCCAGCTTCTTCTCCAGCTCCTCCACCCTCGCCTCCGCCAGCTGGCACGCCCTCCTCGCCGCGTCGCCCGCCTCCGCGCGGAACGCCATGTCCTTCTCGCGCAGACTGCTCGCGTCCCTCTCCCTCTGCCGCCATGGACCAACGGAACATGCAGAGAGGGGGTCCGTGTCAGAAGTAGGCACAAGAGCTGAGACCAGCGCTAGCGGGGGTGGGGGATTTTATTAGGCGCCTAAAAAACGACCCACGGAACAAGCAGAGAGGGAATCCGTGTCAGGATTCGGTACATGAGCTGAGACCAGCGCTAGGGGGGGTGGGGGAACCGGTGACTTGTCAAGATTCAAGACGACATGAGCGTCTCGTGGGGTGGTGGGACTGAAAGCGGGGTATTCATTTTGGTGAAACGGGGGGCAGTGGGATGGTGGAAAGAGGGGATGGCGGAAGGAGGGGAGATGGAGAACTCACTTGCAGCTGCTCTAGAATCAACCGGTTCCTCTCAGCTTCCGCTCGGGCTGCGATGAGCTGCTCTGCCAGAATCGAGTAGGGCCGTGACGACTTGATGCGCTGCTCGTCCTCCGACGCTGACTGCACGGGTGCGGGAAGGATATGCGCTTCATTATGCCTCATTGCCAGGAAAAGGATAAGAGTTTTCGGACGTCTCAAAACACTGACTGCACAGATGCAGGGAAGATATGCCTCATCTTTAAGGAAAAGGAGAACCGATACGCTTGGGTAGAGAGTGAAGGAGGCTAGAAGGGACAACGCAAGAGGAGAAGTTGATGAGGTTACGAAAGGGAGGCCGAAAGACAGTTAAAACGCTGGAATGAGACATGCTTTGGGGGCTGAATGTGACCATATCGGCAAACCCTAATCTTGGCATTCCCGTGATATTAGTGTAAGGGAACACAAACCTGGTACTCTCGTAGCTTCTGATTCAGTTCCAGTATCGTCTGTTGCTTGTCCTCAATCTCAGTCAAGCGTTGAGCGGAAAGCTTCTGCAAAACAGAAAAATATGCAGAATCGCATAAATTCACACAGGAAACTCCGTCACAAAAGCTCTCGTCTCGTGTATACGATGACGCAAGCATACAAATCAGAAAAGACGACGCATTTCTCACCTTCGCTTCCTCAAGTGCGGCTTCAAGCTCACGGGCCTCCCCAGACGCGATCCTGCTGTCCTGCCCCCCGTCTCTCGAATCCGACTTCACAAGCGACGGCGACGCGGGAAACGCGCAGGGCCCAGACGAGGAAGCTGACTGCTTCGCCGCGACGAGTTTCCGCCTCGTTGATTCCAGCTGCATGAGGGTATCCTCGAGATGATCTGTGACGGGGTCCCAATGAGATGACGGAATGCGCTAAGGGAGATGACGGAATACGCTAGAAACTGGCAGAATTCGTCTCGTTGATTCCAGCTGCATGAGGTGTCCTCGAGTTGATCTGTGACGGACAAGCCAGATGCGGGTCCCGTGGAAACGACGGAATGCGCTAGGGGAGTTGACGGGATTCGCTAGGGAGGATGACGGAATGCGCTAGGTAGGATGACGGAATGCGATAGGAAATCGCAGAATTCGCGCGTCTGACGCCAATGCAGCAACCCCATTCCCAACTATATATCCGACCTAAAAAAATATTAGACCTCCCTCTAAAGAACTTGGAGTCACCTAGTAATTATTCCTACCCTTGGCGAAGCTTAAGAGTAATCAGTCCTACCCTTGACGAAGCTTACCTAGTAAAATTTCTCACCTGAAACTCTCCGAACTTCTGCTTGGCTCTTGGCATTCAAGTCCCGAATCTCCGAGAGCTCCAGCGACAGGCTTCTGTGCTGCAGATGCATCTCGTCCATCTTGGCTCGCATGTGCGACACTTCGGATCTGAAATCCTCATGCGTCGATCTTAAGAGCTCTGCAGCTTCTGCCTCGAGCAAAACGGGGGATAGAAAATGGGAAATGTCGGAAAAAAATCCGTCAAAGCCCGCATCTTAGAGGGTAGGATATACAGCTGAATAATGAAGAAAAATACATACCGTCTGAACTTAGACTCTTTTTCAAGGAAACTGCCAATTCCTCGTTTCGTAGTCTTTGTTGATCGACGGCTTGCACTATGCACTTGAGGACCTTATACGTTTGCGAGCTCCGAGCTTGTAACGCGGAATGAATCTTCTTCCTCGCATTGCCTTCATCCTCGACCTTCGGACTCGCTTGTAACAGCTTCCGTAGAAAAATGCTTTCTGAAGGACCATCTGAATCCCCTCTATCTGACAAAAGAGGAAAAAAACCGGCAACCAAAATTAGGGTAAAAATTAGGAAGCATAGATCTGAAGGTAAATCACACAAAACTCAAGATATTCGGCGAGTTACCTTCAAGGGGAGTGGCGTTAGACATTTGCTGAAGACCATTAAGCCCAGCATTCGCCTTAACTGCCAGAATCTCCAGATCGTCAACTAGCTGTTAAAAAAGGGAACAGAAAGCCGTCAGAATTCCACCTTGCTACCTCAAGATCTATTGTACGGCGACCAAACGCTCCCACTCAAGACGTGGACTTGCAAAGCCGAACCTGGTTCCACGCGCTGTTGACTGTCATGAGTGTATCGTCGTAGTCTGACTGCCGTGCCTTGAGATCCTCGAACCGCGACTCCAATTCATGGATTCGTTCTTTCTGGACTTCCAGCTGCTGACTCAGCTTCTGGTTCTGAAACTGAAGCACTGACGGGTCGATCTGGCCATAGGAGACGGAAAGAGCGACTAAGAAGACTGATTCCGACTAGTAACAGAATGTAGGTAAAGTTGGGGAAATAAATGAAACTTGAAAACCTCGTGAAGGCACACCTTCTTCTCGTCACCGAGACACGACAGCGATGGTCTTTTAGCAGGAGGCGACATAATGCTTCCCGCTGCTGATGGCCGCTTCTTTCGCTCTGACTCGTCATTGCTTCCCATTTCCCCCTTCTTTCGGCAAGGGGCGTTTCCTGCTGGGGACTTCAGCGCTGCCGGTTTCACGAAATCCAAGTCGACCAGATTATCACAGCTCCGCATGAGCTCTCGGTCACACCACTACGGCCTTACGCAGCTCCTAACCAAGAACCCGCAGGAAGAACAACAAACCCTAGTCACAGCGGCGAACAGGAAACAAGAAACCAACTAGGTCCTAGTGAATGAGAAAGACTGTTGTGGAAAGACGCAGGCAGGGAAGGGAAACCCTAGTTTTGAGGCAGAGGGACGATGGGAGCCGCGGAATGGGGGACCCACCCACGGAGGGGGAAGATGGTTCACGGATCTGCCTGGGGCGAAACTTTCGCCTCAAGCGTGCAGGTTACCGTTCGTGGTTGAGAGGTGGCGAAAGGCATTGCCGAACACTGCCGAGTTTGCGAACACGACATTGTTTGAGTGTGCCGCACTGTCGTGTATTACCATTGCAATAGAAATTATTAGCTAGAAACCATTGGTGTAAATAAAAATTGAGTCGTACAGAGTTCAAAATTGGTAGCAGAGTTCTTTCAGGGTTAATAGTATAGTACAAAGGAATAAGGAACTTCTAATACGAAGAGTACAATTCTATCACTTTGCTGCCACCAAAGTGATAGCATATTAGCCATAGCAAGCAACACTCTCCAGTCCTCGTCTTCCCAACCCTTCTCTATTCCTTATCATCACAGGCTCTAACAAGCTGTCATGACATCCTTGTTTGACACAAGGTGCGAAACTTATGACATCCTCGTACCGATCATGCTTTAGCTTTACGCTTTACGACTTGTCACCTCCGCTGGTAACTTTTTTCCCTCACTCTCCTCCCCCCCTTCCTCCTCCTCGTCCTCCTCATCCTCATCCTCCCAATCCTCCTCATCCTCATCCTCATCCTCATCCTCATCCTCATCCTCATCCTCATCCTCCTCATCCTCATCATCATCCGACTCATCCCCACCGCTCCCAACCGCATTGTACATCACCGGAGCGGGGTAATTTTTCCTCTCCGCCTTGTCCTGCTTCGACACAAGGTGCCGAATCACCCTCTCATCCTGCAGCAGCACCTTCTCAATCGCCGCAATCTTATCTGATGGCACCTCGATGTTCATGAGAATGTACTGCGCCTGCCATGTCTTCTGAATGCGGTATGCCAGCCGCCTCATGCCCCAGTCGTTCACCCTCCACACCGTGCCTCGAGCATCCTTCACCATCTCTGGCCGAGGGGGGGAGGGTGGGGGCGGAGAGGGAAGAGGGGAGGGGGAGGCAAAGGGATGGGAAGGGGAGTTGAAGTGGAGGGGAAGTGGACGGGAAGGGGACGGAAGGGGAGGAGGGATGCAGAAGGATGGGCGGGAAAGGGGAACCTCGATGTTCATGAGAATGTACTGCGCCTGCCATGTCTTCTGAATGCGGTATGCCAGCCGCCTCATGCCCCAGTCGTTCACTCTCCATACTGTGCCTCGAGCATCCTTCACCATCTCTGGACGGACGGAAGGGGAGGGGAAGGGGAGGGGAAGGGGTGATGGATTATGCCTGAGCGTGTTGGAAGCTCAAGTCCCTCCAGATCATTTTTGAGGAGCCTCAAAAAGCATGTACGAAGCTCAAGTCCCCTGAGAACACCGAGCGTCCTTTCACCATCTTTGGAACCATCGAGTGGGGGGAGATTCGAATGTGAGACAGAGGGAGATGAAGGGGAAAGGTGAGTGTGCGGCTCTGTTGTATTCACTTTTGAATTGTGACAAGGCACAGTCACTGTCACAACACACTTAGATAGATTTCCACATGCATAGGCACACGTATAATCACACATGAAGTGACAGCACTTGCAATCATCGCACATGGAGTCACAGCCAAAACAAGCACACTCAAAGACTCCCAACCGTTACAGTCACACTCACAAGCATCCATCGCCCACCTGTGATCTTCTCTACGATAGCGGGAGTTTCATCCGTGCGCCCCTCGTGCACCAGGAAGATCAGCTCGTAGTGGCCTGGGGGGGAGGGGGAGAGGTTGGGGGGGGTGGGCGGGAAGGGGGAGGCGGGGAGAGCGGAAGGGGTGAATGAGTGTTGTCTGTGCGCCCCTCGTGCACCAGGAAGATCAGCTCGTAGTGGCCTGGGGGGGAGGGGGAGAGGTTGGGGGGGGTGGGCGGGGAGGGGGAGGAGGGGAGAGCGGAAGGGGTGAATGAGTGTTGTCTGTGCGCCCCTCGTGCACCAGGAAGATCAGCTCGTAGTGGCCTGGGGGGGAGGGGGAGAGGTTGGGGGGGGTGGGCGGGAAGGGGGAGGAGGGGAGAGCGGAAGGGGTGAATGAGTGTTGTCTGTGCGCCCCTCGTGCACCAGGAAGATCAGCTCGTAGTGGCCTGGGGGGGAGGGGGAGAGGTTGGGGGGGGTGGGCGGGAAGGGGGAGGAGGGGAGAGCGGAAGGGGTGAATGAGTGTTGTCTGTGCGCCCCTCGTGCACCAGGAAGATCAGCTCGTAGTGGCCTGGGGGGGAGGGGGGAACGGAGGGGCGGAAAAGGGGGGAGGGCGGAAGGGGTGAATACATGCTATTAACAGAAAGTCTCGTCTGTGCGCCCCTCGTGCACCAGAAATAACATTTCGTCGTGGCCTGGGGAGGAAGAAGAGGGGGCAGCGGGAGGGGTGAAAGGGGAAGCAGAATGGGGAAAGGAGGGGAGGAGTGAAGGGAGGAAGGAGAACGGAGGGGAGGGAATGGAGGAAAAGGAAGGGGGAGGAACTTGGTGGTGCAAGGGCAAAACGAAGCAATGCAGCAATGCCGTGGATAATATGGTGAACTACAAGACAACTTGGTGAAAGAGCAAGCCGTGGATAATATGCTTACGCGGAGGTATGTCGAACGTGCTCTGAAGCTCGAGGTCCAAAATGGTATCAAGTTGGTCTGTATGGAGTATAGAAACGAGACACAGAGAGGATGGCACACCGCAAGATGATGAATATATAGAATGGTGCTTGATGAAAGGGTTATGAAAGGGCAAAATTGAAAATGGAGGATAAGCGACGATCTGAAGAATAAAGAGGGTAACACTCGATGAGTGTGTCACTCATGCACGGAGGATGGACCCATGCTACTTGGTATTCGAGGAAAGGTGTGACCAAACGACCCATGCTCGTAGATTTAAAAGCAGATGCTCAGCCACTGCATCCCCCGTACAGGAAAATCGATAGAAAGCAACAGCAGCACAGATTCCTTTCACCTATCCGGGTCTCTACAACCCTCAAGACATGCTGATATCGGGGATGGAGTGTCCTGAGAATTTGCTCCCTGCAAAATCTCCGAGCTTCAACCACAAACCGACTCTGGCAACACTTCACAAGCACCCTCTCTGCTACAGCCTCTCTGCTCCATGAGCCGAACTCGGGCACATTGCATCTCACACCCCCGAGTGTAGTAAGTCGATTTTTGAGTCGACTCAAAAATCGGCTTACTTCACACCCCCGAACTCGTGCTGTGAGTGTGGCACCTTCTCCAACGCAACCCTGAATAGGACCCTTGTGCTTCGTAGCCCCCGCACAGCACGGAGCAGCGGGTTCAGGACAGGAAGAGAGGAATAAGCCAACCCTCAATTCTCTCCATCCGTCGCTCAACGTCCTCCTGTTTCCCTTCCAAAATCGTGCTCCAGACGGCCTTTCAGTGAACTCCCCGCTCACTGAGATGGCTTTTAAGGCGCCGCAAAAGCCATCCGTCTCTCACTGTCTTCCTGTTTCCCCTCAAATTCGGTGAAATGCTCCATACGGCATTTCAGTGAGTGAACTTCCACGCTCTACAAAGGGAAGTCGTCTGAATCTGAACTCAAAACACGAATCAAGAGTGACTCAACAATACTAACCGCTTCAACTCAAATCCCAGCTTTCTTTTCTCACCGGTCTCCTCCGGAGTTTGTTGGTACGTCTGCTGCCGCGCTTTCAGCGCTCTACTCTCTACGAGAACACCCGTCATTTGCGCTACATCCCGCATTTCTTCTCTCACCGGTCTCCTCGGGCGTTTGTCGGTATGTCTGCTGCCGCGCTTTCAGCGAAGCCTTCTTCATCGATAAGGCCGGCGCTGGCGCCGTGTCGCCATTTACGCTATTCGTAGCGTCATCTGCGGCAGCACTCGCAGAAACCGCGCGACAAAACCGCCCTCGTGGCTGCGTCGCAGTTGTCGCAGGCGTCGCAGGGCAAGCGGCGACTGATAGCCGTGCGTTGCGGGGACGCAGGGAACCGAGGCTACAAGAGCAGCTGACATGCGCTAACGGGTGACGCGTTGTATGGGAGACGCTTGTAGCGAGTACGGCGTGCTCCAAGGCACGAACGGCAGTCATGATGGCAATGCACACGAGAAAGGACAATCGCCGTACGGTCGGCGGTTGATCAGAGGCAGAAAGAGGAGGTACGCGTAGCGAACACGAATTAACGTGACAAGGTAACCGATTCGAAGCGCGTACCTTCCGCTAATCTCGGCAGGATACAAACAGCGAAGCAAGCATTTATATTGAAACGAGTTGTGATGTAGTGGTGAAGGGGACAGGGCTGAAGGGTTTGAGGGTGAATCGCCTCGGCACGCGCTGTTTCGTTACAACGAGGTTGCCTCGAGCTGGCAATATCCTCGCCATTTTTGGGCTATTTGGTGTACATTAATTCTCTAACACTAAACTAGAGACCTTCTGTAAACCCCCAGTGTGAAACTCAGCTTTATCGGCCACTTAAAAGAGCGTGAATGTTGGAAATACGTTTTTTAGATAATTTAGGACATCTTCTTGGGTATGTTATCTTTAGTTTAAAAGTGAAGCAGTTTAGTATGCGTGCTAATAAAACTATTTGCGTGATTGCAAATCTTATTTCTCACAACTCAAACAGTGCATCGAGTTCGCCAACGACGGAACACCGTCCTTCTGCTCACGGCGGCGAACCGCCCTGTTTGCCGCTCAAACTTGTCCCCTTTTCGGCCGCCATAGCTCCTCCTGAATACAAGAAGTAGCCACCAAAACTGCGCCTCGTCCATCCGCAAGTCAGGAAGCGCTTTCAAAACGTGTGGCTGGAAGCGCTTTCGTGAGCCTTGCTGGGATGCTGCCGCTGTGCCTCATCCTCTTTTCCGCGGGCGATATGGAGAGTTACCTTAGCCGCATTTCTCTTCACGTTCTTGAGGCACGATTAGAGTCACTTGTATTAGTGCCTTGGTACCGCAATCGTATTCATAAGTTTCCGCAACGGCTAGAAGTAGCTTCCTGATGTCCGAGTCCATATCACCCGTCACCTTCCTGACCGACTAATATAACGTCTCCATCGTCACTCCATGGTTTATTTAGGTCTACTAGAATAGGCATTCGCCGCTCACCATACTGATTTCTGTGTAAGACTGGTCTCCGTATAAGGAGAGTCTTGTTCAAGCCGAACTAACGCTGTCAAGACGGGACAGCGCCATTACAGCTGATCTGCATGAGATTGCGAATCAGTGAGTTACCCCGGAACGCGCGTTTTTCTAATCATTATTATTCGCGTTGTACCATTCTTGATTCATGTGTTTTGCATGACACGGTTTCCTTGCGCGGCAGGTCGGGTATGGAAGCAGATCATGCGCAAGCTGGGTCGCTGGAAGCGGCACGCCAAGAGCATGACGAGCAGCTGCCGAGCTCCCAAAGTCACCGACGGCTTCTCCGACTTGGTCGTCAACGGCGTCGCCAACCTCCCGCCGTCTAAGGCTCGCAGCGCTGATAACCTCGGCCGTCATCTCTCCAGGTCAGCAACTAGCCTCTCGCGTTTCAGATATGGCGGCCGTGGTGGCCCAAATCAGCTTAGAAAGGCTTTGCAATCGTAAGGCGGAGCGATCGCAAGGCCGTGCTTGTATTTGTTTGGTTTACCTGCGGCATGATTATTAAGTCTTGTCTCACGATAATCGCAGATCTGGAACAGCTGATGGTCGGACGCTACGCGCGCTGGCATGTCAGCCGGAAAAGGGCGGACGGCTTCACATCGAAGGCGACGGCGAGGGGGAAATGGACGAGGAGTGGATGCAGGAGATGCTTCGCCTAGCCGGCGATCGATCGACGAGTCAGGTAACTTCGCTGGCTTGCTTTCGCGGAATTTCTTCCCATCTTTTTTTTTCGACTGTCCATCTCCTTCTCGTCCTTACACACGTATTATGAGACTTCGACGTTGATGTGGTTCAAAGTACTAACGCTGCCGGTCTGCTATGTCAGGTGCGCTGGAAAGACGGCGGGACGATTCAGCGCTACGGGAGTGCAATAGACATGCGGCAGCTGATAGATGGTGACAGTAACGAAATCTACTCAGCGAAACAGAGGACTGGAACCGTGGTGCCCCTCGGAAACCACAACGGAACGCCATGGCAGAGAGACATTCCTGCTCGGCATCACCAAGGGTCAACAACCGCCGTTGCCTCCAAGCAAAGATGTGGAACCACGGATGGAGGCTCGGGAATGGGAGGGAATGGCACAGGGAGGCTCGGGTATCATAGACCTTGTCGTTCTGGCTCAGTGCCAGCAGCCATGGATGTCATGAGTGTCCCGCTTAGGCCACCGCCAGGCAGAAGAAGACCCACTGCTCCCAAGTGACCCCCACCAACCTTAGGGCTGATTATTGGGTTTAGACACCTTGTAAGATCTCTAAGATATTATTTCAGAGCTGATAGATGTTTATGTGTACCTACATGTATGCATGCGTTAAAATCATCCATTAATGTAGTATATGCTTCATATTGGATATTCGTTTCGGTCCATTCATGGAGTCGTGTACATCACGTCCCGTTGAGCTTGAGAACCACCCCCAAACGAGCTTGAAAACCACCCCCAAACGTGTACAGCACGTCCCGTTGTTCTTGTTCGTGCGAAGGTGGAATTTGGATATGTGGTCAAGAATGGCTTCCTTTCATCCACGGCAATGCTTGTCCACTTCCACCCACCCTGTCTGGCAGCCAGTGGCGGCGACTGAATTCCGCCATATTCAAACTGCAGTGTGCCTTGCTGTAAACGAAGTGTGTAGGAACAGTAGGTTTGACGCGGCGCCAACTGGCAAATTGTCGTGGTTTGGGTTTCCCCGCGCTTTTGGTTTGGACACGGAAGGAATGGCGTGTTGTACCATCCAGGGAAGCAAGCCGCGACGGAAGCGTGAGTTGCAATATGGTTCCTATTAATCTGGAAACGCTTTACTTCGATAATTTTCGGTATCTGTACTCACAATATTTGACTCTAGAGTTTGTGTAGTTTCAAATAACCCTGAGAAACCATGACACCCTACATTCTACGCAAAAAAATATAAAAGCCCCTCCACGACAACGAGACCAAAACTGCCTCAATCCCCTCAACCCTGTCTAGCCAAACGGAACCTCACGGCACCGTACTGCTGCGCAACCACTTCTGCTTCTGCTCTACAACTATTTCTTCTCGTTCTAGTGGTTTTCCTTCCTTGCAGTGCCAGCTGGAATGTCAAAAACGCCTAGCGTAGCGTGCAAGTCACCCTATGCGGCATGATGGGCTTATCCACAGGCGCGGTGTGCTTCTTCGTTCAAGGTTCATCTTCAAGGTGGCCTGGCCTGGCCGCCCCTTCCTCCACTAATACCTCTGCCAAAGCCATAAGCTTCTTTAGCTTCCCGTTGGCGGGAAATGGGTCCATAGACTGCTCCGCCAATCATCGTATTTCAAACACGAACAAATCGGAGCTTCACAGTTTTCAAATTATGACTTACAGGCTCCAGGCTCCAGCACAGCACAGGCACGCGGCGAAAAAAAAGTCGGACAGCTGGCTTGCCAGCCTTGAGAAAAAAGTCTTCTTCCACGTCTCGTCTCTCGAGCCTACCTCGACCAGAGACTCGGAGCGCATGCCGCTATAGTGCAGCCATTGTCTGCCGACCGCGTCCTCTACGCCTGCTCCGCGAATATCTGCCTCACGCACAACCTCCCCCGAACCAATTGGCGGGTCGGCCGGTCGCACGCGCCTCAGGCTTTAGTCCAGAGCCCAAGCTCCAAATGTCAAACCTAGCTAAGTCAGAGGTGTTACAGTACTGTATTCACACGTTAGACTTTCTCGTGTTCGGCGACCTTTCGGGTTGTACACCAGCCTCGTCCGTCCACATGTAAATAGCGGTCTCAGCTGACCTAGGAGTCATTAGAGTCCTCTTGCTCATTTGTTTCTGCCTTCAACAGCAAACTTGATTTAGGCGGTTGCGTGACTGGCTCCCTGTACTAGTTACTGATACTCTTGTGACACTTTCAAACTGAGGTTTTACCTCCTCAATTTCCAATTCATGGAATCCTTGCTCTTACGCTTGCCGATAGAGCTTCCAACAGCCCCTTCCGCTGCTGCTGCTGCTGCTGCATCCCCTCTTATTTTCCCTATGGACCAAGACACTGCGTCGACTCTCCGCAAGTCGCCGCGGCGCATCACCGTAACGGCCGTCTCGCACTTCGAGGTGCTCCCCTGCCAGACGGACGAGGTGCTTCGCGGCGGCGGCGCCGGAGACGGCGCCGATGCCGCAGAGTCGGAGTCAAATAATCCCGTCGGCGGCGCGGCATCGTCCGGCGATCATGCGCCTTCGGAGGATGTAGCGGTCACCCGTCGTTTTTCAAACATCGACCTTCGCCTGGAAATGTGGAACCTCGCTACTACTGGAAGCTCTGCTAGTAGTACCACGAAGCACCAGCGGAGCTCTCCTCACGGCACGCGCCCCTCGCGCTCGCGGAGCTCTCCGATGATCGCGACGCCTGAGGCGGCTTTATCTCTCGCACCCGCCGAGATCACGAATATGTCGCCTGTCGACGGATATTCCCCCGCTGAAACGTCTGGTGATGCTCGCTGTCACGCCCGACCGGCGCAGCTTGAAGTGGCGGGGAGATTGGAGACGCAGGAGATGCGAGAGTCGCGGGAGACGCGAGGGAGCGATCCTGAGAAAGCTGCGGGATTAGAAGTAGCTACAAGCCGGAGAAGCCTGACGCGCTGGCAGAGCGTTCCTTCATTGGAAACCCTAAATTCTCCCGTGCCACGACATGCGGCGCCGCGCTGGCCGGTACTATCGGACGCATCCCAGCGTGGGACCGTCAGCGAGTCGGTCTCCCCTGCGGCTGTCTCCTCGCACGGACGACGATTTCAAACTTCGCATGGAGTCGCGGATCCAGTTCGTGTTGGAACCCCGCCAACTTCCCGCCCCGCGTCGGCAGTGGTTCGCGGCGCGAAACTGTCGAGGGCTGCTTCGTCTGAGCCTACGAGTAACGTGTTCGTGTGGGCCGCTCAGCAGCGCATCGCGCGTCACAGATCGGCTCTGCAGTAATTGTATTATAATGGTAGCGCATGGTGCGATGTAGGAGGCGTGGTTAGGTCAACATTCAATAATAAACGTACATATTTATGTAATAAACCCTTTTAATTATTGACTTTATAATGAATGTCCAGGCTGGTGAGTAGATGTTCTTAGTGGTGAAGCGAGATGACCATTCTGAACTGTACGATATCGAACTCCACCGCTTGTGCTGAGCGAAACGTGTCCCTTTGGAACCCGCCCGAGTGCAGAGAGAATGCCACCTCCCACAAAAACTCCAATGTGGTTTTGTACCGTATAATACCGAAGCATCACCTCACCACCACAAGTCGACGTGGTTTTTATCTCCTAACCTGTGGGCACGTGGAGGTCAGCAGTCTGACATGGCAAGATTGTACTCGCTGCATTCCAGCAATGGATGCTTGCAGCGGCGAGGTCGGCGTGCTGAAAGATGTCCCCGCGTTTCGCACAGCTCCGTGACGACGAACCCAGCAGCCTTCGTCGTAGTAACATAGGGATCGTCATTCAGCGCAGAAGCTTCGCTTGTGTCAGGGAGTCTTCGCGAACACCTCTCTGCGATTCAAAAGCGACTCTGTCCGACAGAATCATGGGTCACTGCAACATCAACTCCCAGAGATTCCAGTTCGCAGAGCGTCGTTGGCTTTGACGAACATTTGCATCCGTTTTCTTAGGCGATCTTTTGATTTAGGATTGAGAAAGCGACAGGACAATGGTCTGAGCTTCTGGCATAGTTGTTTGCTCCCTACGAGGCGTCGAGCCGTTTTGGGAAACCATTACTTTGACGAAGTGGATTTGCTCCTGTAGTTATTACGCACGACAACATCGCCTCTGAGGTGCTTCAACAACCGTCTCCCGTGTATTTTGACACTTCCCAACCCACTTTCGCTGACGAATCCGAGGCGAGGTGCACTGGCTGTTGCAACAGCCATAGGCACAGCTGGACGCGGGTAGCGAATGGTAGCTCTTTCCTTCCCTAAACGCTACCGTTTCTTATCTGGTGCGGCTTTCTGAGTCGATCTTTAAGAGGTAGCCATTCCTGCGAGTCGCGTTGGTCTAGTTGCATGAACCGAATTTAGCGACATGAATCGAGCCTAGCGGCATGAACCGAACATGGGGCGTGAACCGTGCCTAGCTCCTTTATCCGAGCCTCGCGGATTAAACCGAGCCTAGAGGCATCAACCGAACCTAGCGCCATGAACCCCGTAACATCGGAAGTCCTTCGCCGAATCACAGACGGAGGTGCCGCTCCAATTATCGACGGCCGGCAAGGGCTCGTCGACGGTCGGCCAGCACTGATCGACGGCCATCCTGCGCTGATCAACGGGCACGAGCCAATGATCGGTTTCCATCGGGACTGGCAAGCACGCGGAGCAGCAGGAGGAGTAGGGGGCGTGGTAGGAAGAGCTTTGAATGCGGGAGGACTCCCTGGGGAAGGTGGGGGAGGGCTGGCTGGGGAAGGTGTTATGTGGAGGCGGTATGTGCGATGGCTGGGTTCGTTAGGCTCGGGACTGAGGCGATTTATCGAGGGGTGTATCCCTGCTATAGCCGTAGCTGGCACGCATTGTGTACCCGATTTAGGGCGAAAGAGAAAATGCATATCAGACTCGTTAAAGGTGGCGAACTGGGTGATGGCGGGAATCGACGGCGTCATTTGGATCATCGCGCTGGTTCAGGTGAGACATGCGTCATCTGGACCGTCCAATGATGCACTGTTCAGGTGAAACACGCGTCATTTGGACCGTCCTGGACCGTCCAATGATGCAATGTTCAGGTGGGTGTGTGTCATCTGGTCTGGACCACTGGTAGAAGCACTGTTCAGGTGAGATATGCGGCATCTGGACCGTCCACTGATGCACTGTTCAGGCTGGAGCGTTCAGTGATGCGTTGTGCAGGTGAGGTTTGCAATGAGGCAGGTGGCGAATGCTGCACGCATGGAGTAGGGGTGTGAGAAGTTCAGGTGAATCATGCCAATGATACACTCATCAGGTAAGGAAAGACGTCTGTATGAGCGAGGAACACGGATGGATCATGCAGTGAGGCATGCAGTGAGGCATGCAGTGAGGCATGCAGTGAGGCGTGCAGGGAGGCATGCAGTGAGGCATGCAGTGAGGCATGCAGTGAGGCGTGCAGGGAGGCGTGCAGGGAGGCGTGCATTGTACTGTGCATTGTGCACCCACCCTTCAGCGCCCCTGATTATTTATCAGATGTATCACGGAGACACTCAGTGCATATGACTCACGCTCTCATACCCTTTCCCCAACCGTCCCATGCCCGTCTGCAGCTCATTCGCATCTGCCGCCATGTGCAGAATGGCAAGTGGACCCGTCAAAAGGTAGGCACTGGTTGGGGGGTCTTGGGAGCATCTTTTCTCCATCCCATGAATCCCCCACCCCATGCCTCCCCCATCCCATGCCTCCCCCATCCCATGCCTCCCCCATCCCATGCCTCCCCCATCTCATAAATTCCCCATCCCATGAATCCCCCATCCCGTGAATCCCACCCACGAATATCCCATCCCATGCACACCACCAAAAGTGCAACGAGCTCACTCCTTCCTCACATTTTGCTCGCAACAGCAGTTTCAGCACGTGTGCGTGGCGCATCTATCCCATCCCATGTGCCTTGTGCAAATCAACATCCCAGTGTCATGGCTATGTGGCGCATCAATTCCATCCCATGCCCTCACCGTCGCATCATCACCTCCGCTGCCTCTCACATGCCTTGTGCAAATCGCATTGCCATTGCGGCCCCTCCCTCCCACAGGTCTTCCATACCATGGTCTTTGCTGTGTCCACCACAGGTCATGCCATGTATCGCGTTCCGCCCGTGTGCCCTCACTCATGTCATCACCTCCTCTCTCCCTCACATGCATTGTCATTGCGGTCTCACCCTCCCACAGGTCTTCCACACCATGGTCTTTGCCGCAAACCTTGGTGAGTATGTATGGAGTCGATTTACAAGCCTGTTTCACGCAGGGCACAGCACAGCACACACACATCACATGTGGAGGCACACACGCATCACATGTGGAGGCACACACGCATCACATGTGGAGGCACACACGCATCACATGTGGAGGCACACACGCATCACATGTGGAGGCACACACGCATCACATGTGGAGGCACACACGCATCACATGTGGAGGCACACACGCATCACATGTGGAGGCACACACGCATCACATGTGGAGGCACACACGCATCACATGTGGAGGCACACACGCATCACATGTGCCCCCTGCAGCTGCAGGTCGTCCCTTCCTCAACACACGCCATGGTCTCTAAGTGACTTTTGAGTCGACTCAAAAGTCACCTTGTTTCACGCAGGGCACAGCACACGCATCACATGTGGAGGCACACACGCATCACATGTGCCCTGCAGCTGCAGGTCGTCCCCTTCTGCGCATGGTCTCTGCTGCAAAGCTCGTTCACCATCAGAATCCATCGAATCTCATTTCCTGAGTCGCCTCTACCTACCATCAGTAACCCTCCTCTCCTCCCGCGGACTTTCTCTTCTCTGAACGTGACGAGTTTTGAGACGTCTCAAAGTTCGCCTCTACCTACCATCAGTAACTCACCTCTCCTCCCGCGGACTTTCTCTTCTTCGAACGTGACGTGACCCATCCACCACCTCCCGCTCCCTCTGCGCAGGCTACTGCATCTATTTCGTCATCAACCCCTTCGCCTCCTGCTCCCAATGGCTCTGCTGGTCCCACGCCTGCAGCTATCACCTCGTTTCCCACCACACACACTCCCTCTTCTCTCTCACCCCACACCATCCATCCATCACCTCCCCCTCCCCCTGCGCAGGCTACTGCATCTATTTCGTCATCAACCCCTTCGCATCCTGCTCCCAATGGATCTGCTGGTCCCACGCCTGCAGCTTCATCGCTCTCGGTGCGTCGCTGCTCTTGTCTTTGTTTGTGTCACTTTTAAGATTTCTCAAAAGTGACACAAGCGCGCCTGTAGATTCATCACTATTGGTGCGTGGCTGCTGTTGTCTTTTGCGCCGAGCTTACTGCTCCTCCTCCGTGGGAGTGCATGCATACGGCTAAGCAATGGTGAGGACCCATGCTGCGTGCAGTGCTCTCTGTGTGCGTGCTCCCCATCTCCACGCGTATGCTCCCCATCTCCACGCGTATGCTCCCCATCTCCACGCGTATGCTCCCCATCTCCACGCGTATGCTCCCCATCTCCACGCGTATGCTCCCCATCTCCACGCGTATGCTCCCCATCTCCACGCGTATGCTCCCCATCTCCACGCGTATGCTCCCCATCTCCACGCGTATGCTCCCCATCTCCACGCGTATGCTCCCCGTCTTTTTTTTAGTCGACTCAAAAAACATCTCCACGCGTATGCTCCCCATATGCATGCTCCCCCGTGCGTATGGCCATGTGTATGCCCCCCGTTTGTGCGCTCCTGCTTGTGTTTTCATGTGCTTAATGTGCTCCAATGCGCTCTACCGCGATCCAGTGCGATCCAGTGCGATTCATTGAGTCCCAATGTGTGACACTGGGTGCTTGCTTCTGTGCTGCATTGCTGCGTGTCTGTTCCCCGCATGGCAGCCATACCGCAGATCATCTTCCTCGCAACCTTCCTGCTGCTCCTCTCCTTCTGGTAAGATATGGCATGGCACGATGGGATGGGGTATGGTACATGTGGTGGTATGGAATGCCTGTGTGCTCCTTGTGTTTCAGCCGTACCGCATATCATCTTCCTTGCAACCTTTCTTCTGCTCCTCTCCTTCTGGTATGACTGGCACAGCATGGCATGGCACAGTATGGCATGGTCACAGCATGGCATGGCGCAGCATGACAAGGCACAGCATGGCATGGCACGATGGGGCATGGCATAGCACGGCATGGCACAACGGGGCATGGCACAGCATGGCATGGCACAATGGGGCATGGGGTATGGCACAATGCAGCATGGCGCAACAGGGCATGGCGCAACGGGGCATGGCACAACGGGGCATGGCACAGCATGGCTTGGCACAACGGGGCATGGGGCATGGCACAATGGGGCATGGCACAATGGGGCATGGCACAATGGGGCATGGCACAATGGGGCATGGCACAATGGGGTATGGCACAATGGGGCATGGCACAATGGGGCATGGCATAAATCATGATGTGGCATGGCAGTCTAAGTAACGTATGGCTACACATGTTCTCTTGCTGCATGCTCCCACCACCACCACCACCACCACCACCACCACCACCACCACCACCACCACCACCACCACCACCACCACCACCACCACCACCACCACCACCACCACCACCACCACCACCACCACCACCACCACCACCACCACCACCACCACCACCACTACCAGGATCGACCTGTGCCACCAGGCCTCGGACAGCACAGACAAGGACGAGGAGGAGGAGTTTCGAGGCACCTACGAAGTTGCCTTCTCACTTGCGGTTTCCATGCTCCCACCACCACTTTACCTTGCTGCTTGCCACAGGATCGACCTGTGCCACCAGGCCTCGGACACCACAGACGAGGAGGAGGAGGAGGATGACGAGGAGGAGGAGCGAGACGTGGAAGCAGCAGGGAGCAGCAGGGTTGTGAGCAATGGTGCTTATGCGTTCAGTGGTATGGGCATGGCCGTGGGCACGGGTGCGGGCATGGGCACAGGTAGGAGCGGCCTGCTGAGGCATAAGTCGGACCCTATACCGCCCATGCCACCAGCAGTGCAGCACAGCAACTCGACTTTCTCACAGCAACAGTGGCAGCAGCAGCAGCAGCAGCACCAGCGGCAGAGTGTTGCAAGCAGCGCCCCACCAACACATACTGCCAGCAGCCTTGCCGGGGCGAGGGGTGCAGCCGCAAGAACCACGAACAGAGCCGCTGGTGACTCAGTCTCTGCCTCCACAGCTACTGCCAGCAGCGCCACTGATTCTAACCTCACCACCCCCCTCACCACCCCTCTCAACTCCTCTCGCTCCCTCTCCCCTGACCAATCCGAAGCCAGCAGCACCAGCGGCACCCCTCCCTCCTCCCACTCCGCCCATTCCCTTGCTACTGCAGCCAGGCATGCCCAGGCACAGGGTGGGCGAGGAATATCAGTGGGGAAGGGAGGGGAGGGCCACGGCGCGTCCCTGCCTTCCCACGCCACCCATAACCACGGCGCGTCCCTGCAGCAACCGCTGCTGGATGCTGCTGCAGGGGTGATGGGTGGCGTGGGGAGGCAGGGCGCAGGGGGAGGAGGAGGTGGGGGAGGAGGGGGAGGGAGAGGGGGATTAGGAGGAGGAGGAGGAGGAGGGGGGAGAGGAGGGGTAGGGAGCAGTGCGGCGAGTGATGGGGCGAGGACTCCTCGGTTCCGCTGGCAGAAGCTGAGAGTGAAGGGCAGGCAGCGCATCGTCGTAGCTGTAAGCTGAATTTGAGCTCGTTTGAAACTGTTTTCCCAAATTTCTGTAAATCACGCGGGCCCCTCTCGTTGTTCTGCCTTCCTTGTTGTTTCGCCATGCCATGCCATGCCATGCCATGCCATGCCATGCCATGCCATCCCGGGCCATGCCATGGCATCTCGTCCCCTTCCCCACCACCCCCTATCACCAGGTGGTATCGTTCATATCGCTGCTGACAGCGGTGTTCGCCTTCCTCATCTGGTACGGCTTCGGAGACAACCCCATCGACCCCACTCTCATGGCTCAAGTAAGAAGAATTACCTCCTTGCTTACCTCCTTGCTTACCTCCTTGCTTACCTCCTTGCTTGCTTCCTCATCTGGTACGGCTTCGGAGACAACCCCATCGACCCCACTCTCATGGCTCAGGTCAGCAGGACTCCCACTGCCTCCCTGCCCGCCTCCTTGCCTGCTTGCCTGCTTGCCTCCTTGCCTCCTTGCCTGCTTGCCTCCTTGCCTCCCTCCTTCCCTTCCCTCATCTGGTACGGCTTTGGAGACAACCCCATCGACCCCACGCTCATGGCTCAGGTCAGCAGGACTCCCACTGCCTCCCTGCCCGCCTCCTTGCCTGCTTGCCTGCTTGCCTCCTTGCCTCCTTGCCTCCCTCCTTCCCTTCCCTCATCTGGTACGGCTTTGGAGACAACCCCATCGACCCCACTCTCATGGCTCAAGTAAGAAGAATTACCTCCTTGCTTACCTCCTTGCTTACCTCCTTGCTTGCTTCCTCATCTGGTACGGCTTCGGAGACAACCCCATCGACCCCACTCTCATGGCTCAGGTCAGCAGGACTCCCACTGCCTCCCTGCCCGCCTCCTTGCCTGCTTGCCTGCTTGCCTGCTTGCCTCCTTGCCTCCTTGCCTCCCTCCTTCCCTTCCCTCATCTGGTACGGCTTTGGAGACAACCCCATCGACCCCACGCTCATGGCTCAGGTCAGCAGGACTCCCACTGCCTCCCTGCCCGCCTCCTTGCCTGCTTGCCTGCTTGCCTCCTTGCCTCCTTGCCTCCCTCCTTCCCTTCCCTCATCTGGTACGGCTTTGGAGACAACCCCATCGACCCCACTCTCATGGCTCAAGTAAGAAGAATTACCTCCTTGCTTACCTCCTTGCTTACCTCCTTGCTTACCTCCTTGCTTACCTCCTTGCTTACCTCCTTGCTTGCTTCCTCATCTGGTACGGCTTCGGAGACAACCCCATCGACCCCACTCTCATGGCTCAGGTCAGCAGGACTCCCACTGCCTCCCTGCCCGCCTCCTTGCCTGCTTGCCTGCTTGCCTCCTTGCCTCCTTGCCTGCTTGCCTCCTTGCCTCCCTCCTTCCCTTCCCTCATCTGGTACGGCTTCGGAGACAACCCCATCGACCCCACTCTCATGGCTCAGGTCAGCAGGACTCCCACTGCCTCCCTGCCCGCCTCCTTGCCTGCTTGCCTGCTTGCCTCCTTGCCTCCTTGCCTCCTTGCCTCCCTCCTTCCCTTCCCTCATCTGGTACGGCTTCGGAGACAACCCCATCGACCCCACGCTCATGGCTCAGGTCAGCACCACCGCCCCTTTCCTCGCAGGGTTACTGCCTTCTTGTCTCCCTGTCTCCCTGCCTGCCTGCTTCCCTGCCTTGCCTGCTTGCCTCCTTGCCTACTTGCCTCCCTGCCTGCTTCCCTGCCTTGCCTGCTTGCCTCCTTGCCTACTTGCCTCCCTGCCTGCTTCCCTGCCTTGCCTGCTTGCCTCCTTGCCTACTTGCCTCCCTGCCTGCTTCCCTGCCTTGCCTGCTTGCCTCCTTGCCTACTTGCCTCCCTGCCTGCTTCCCTGCCTTGCCTGCTTGCCTCCTTGCCTACTTGCCTCCCTGCCTGCCTGCCTCCGTGCCTCCTCTGCTATCTTGCTCCCTCCGAATTTCTCCCCATTATCCCATGCTCCCGGCCCACCCCCAACCACATCAGATGCATGCGGACTTCTTTGCAGTCGCCACGCTGCTATCAGGCAGAGGGCTGGCTTTCTACGGGCTGCCACTCGTATCTTCTCCTCGCAATTCTTCTCAATCCCTCCTTTCCTCCCACCCCCACCCCCACCCCCACCCCCACCCCCATCAGATGCATGCGGACTTCTTTGCAGTCGCAACGCTGCTATCAGGCGGAGGCCTCGCTTTCTACGGGCTGCTGCTCTTTTCCAAGATGTCTGTTCTTAGGGCGGGACCCAGCGCCGCTGACCTCAGCAAGGTAGGTGGTAACTGTGCTGCTGACTCATCACCACTCAACACCACGCAGCACCACGCAGCACCATTCATCACCTACCCGGCGGCGGACTGGCCTTCTACGGGCTGCTGCTCTTCTCCAAGATGTCCGTCCTCAGGGCCGGGCCCAGCTCTGCTGACCTCAGCAAGGTAGGTGCTGACCTCAGCAAGGTGCATGTGGCGACCTCTGACAGGTGTGTTCTGACATCGTCAAGGTGCTGCTGACATCATCAAGGTGCTGCTGACATCATCAAGGTGCTGCTGACATCATCAAGGTGCTTCTGACCTGGGCAATAGAGAAACTCGAGTGCGTATAAGTTGCTGCGTAAGGTGAGGCACAAACGTGATGCATGTGATGCATGTGATGCATGTGATGCATCGATGAGTGTGAAATCATTCAGGTCATACAAAACGCACTCACTCACATACGTTATGCAACTCAAGAGGGAGACGCATTTGTCCTTCACACCACAAGTCCCTCTGTGTCCGCCTCTCCCTTACGTACAATTCCTCTGTCCTTTCACCTCCCCTTCCACCTCTCAGATTGCATGGCTGGCAGGCATGTGTCTGCTCTGCTTCTCCCTCCGCGCATTCATTGTCCTCGCCAAATACATCCCGGTCAGTCTCCTCCCTTCACTCACGATTTCCTAAGACAATCACGTACTTTTGCACAAAGTAGAATCGTTCTTTTGCATCTATCAATGATCGCACCCTCATGCGCTTTCCCGTTTGTGTTCTCACTCACTTTCTCCACATGTGTTCTCACATCCTATTTTTGAAGTCCACAACATACATACCATTTGACCTAACGTTTCCCACCCTTAATGATTGCCCCAATCGTTTTGGCCTTGCACCACAGCCCATAATGAGTCTCTCCTTTCGGGACAAGCACGGCAACCTGCTGCCCTTCTGGTTCCTCGTCTACCATTGCATAGGTGCGTTGCTCGTCTACCACTGCATAGGTGTGTCGTCCGCAGGTGCAAGAGTGGTGGAAATGTGTGAAGGTGCCACTTCATAGGTGCGTTGCCATGCACAGGTGCGTTTCCATGCATGGGTGCGTTGTGCGTTGTCATGCATGGGTGCGTTGTGCGTTGTCATGCATGGGTGCGTTGTGCGTTGTCATGCATGGGTGCGTTGTGCGTTGTCATGCATGGGTGCGTTGTGCGTTGTCATGCATGGGTGCGTTGTGCGTTGCCATGCAAGGGTGCGTTGTGCGTTGCCATACATGGGTGCGTTGTGCGTTGCCATACATGGGTGCGTTGTGCGTTGCCATACATGGGTGCGTTGTGCGTTGCCATACATGGGTGCGTTGTGCGTTGCCATACATGGGTGCGTTGTGCGTTGCCATACATGGGTGCGTTGTGCGTTGCCATACATGGGTGCGTTGTGCGTTGCCATACATGGGTGCGTTGTGCGTTGCCATACATGGGTGCGTTGTGCGTTGTCATGCATGGGTGCGTTGTGCGTTGTCATGCATGGGTGCGTTGTGCGTTGTCATGCATGGGTGCGTTGCCCCTCCCCTCTTGTTCCTGCCGCCCACATCACACTATGCACATCACCTTATTCTCCACACTCTTCTCTCAAGCACTCCCCTCAGCACTGGGTGCTCTCCTCTCAAGGACCTTCCTCTCACACCATGCCTTTTCATCCACCTGCCCTCATACTCTCCCATTCCCTCCTCTCCTGTCTCTGTCCCTCACATCACACTGTCCCCATTCTCCCCTTCCCTCCCAGGCGAGGCAGTCTCCTCAGCCATGGTCCTCTTTATTCTCAACGGACTGCCTCCCAAGTCCCGCCTCCCCTCGTGTCCCTGCCTCACATCATACGATCCTCTCCCCTCTTCCTCCCAGGCGAGACAGTCCCCTCAGCCATGGTGCTCTTCATTCTAAAGGACCTTCCGCCCAAGTCCCGCCTCCCCTCCCATGTTGCCCTTACCACTCACATCATACAATCCTCTCTCACCACCCCTCTCCCGTAACAGGCGAGACAGTCCCATCAGCCATGGTGCTCTTCATTCTCAAGGACCTTCCGCCCAAGTCCCGCCTCCCCTCCCACCCCTCCCTCCCCTCCTCCTCCTCCTCTCGCCCCTCCTCTCGTCACGGCACCCGTGCCCAGTCCTCTCGCTCTCGCACCTCCAACCTCCCAGCCAACCTCCCTACCCTCCTCCCCACCTCCTCCTCCTCCTCCTGCTCTTCCCCGCATCCAGCGTCCATCTTCTCTTCTCTCACCCCAGGCCGTCTCGCCTCGCCCCTCGACCCAGCGGCAGCAGCAGCTGCCTTTCTACTCCCCTCTGCTCCCGCCGCTGCCGCTGACACTGCTGCTTGTAGTGGTAGTGGTGGTGGGGGTGGTGGTGGGGGTGGTGTGGGTGGTGGTAGTGGTAACAGTGGTGGTAGGGTGGCTGGTGTAGCAGGCTCCAGGCCTGGGGGGCACGTAGGTAGCAGCAACAGCAGCACCACCATTGCCCGTCACCCCGCTCCTCAACTCGCCCCTCTTCTCCCCCAGTGGGTCGTTCCCCCTGAGGGGGAACCCTACTCCGTCCTCCCCCCCGCTGCTGCTGCTGCTGCCTCTTCCTTTGCCGCTCTGGCCGCTGCTGCTGCTGTGGCTGCAGCAGCAGAAGCAGCGGCAGCGGCAGCAGAGGCGGAGGAGCAAGGGAGGAGGAAAGGGAGTGGGAAGGGGCGCGGGAGAGGGAAGGGGGGAGCTGGGAGAGCAGGAGGAGGGGGGGCGGAGAGAGGGGGGAAGGGGGGAGGCAGGGGAAGGGCGAGGGGGGAAGTGGGTACAGAGGGTAATGGAAGAGGGCTAGAGAATGCAGATACAGGGGTAACACTGGCTGGCGCGAGTGGAGTAGGGGGAGGGGCGGTTGGAGGAAGGGGAGAGGGGTCTCAAGTGGGAGAAGGACGAGGACAAGGGAGAGGAGAAGGAAGAGGAGCGGGAGGAACAGGGGATGGCACCGAGGGTGCAGCTCGTGACAAAAGCAGCAAGACAAAGAAACCGTCTAGGGTGAGTTTTCTGGACTTCAATCGTAAGCTCTCTTTTCTTTAATCTGGTTTGATTCTTGTCATCTCCCCTCCTCCGCACATGTGCCCCCAGCTGCTCGTCATTCTTACCCAACTGCTTGCTAACCACGCAACCCCCAACTGCTCTTGCCGCAATCTTCCTATCTTTACTCTTTTCACTCTCCTTTCCTCCACCCTCCCTGTTCCCCAACCACCCATCCCCACTCTTTGTTACTTCTCCCTCACCCATCCCCCTTACTCCCTGTTATTCCCTCCCTCCTCTTGTTACGCCCCCTAACCCCCCGTCCTCTTTTCCGTTCCCCCCCCTGTCAACCCCATTTCCCCCCTGGACCCCCTCCTTCCAAGCAGCTTCGCATGGCCAGCTAACTGAACCAGGCCACACCATCTCAGGTGATTCCACAGGTGACAGGTCTGTTTCCTATGCGCATTCCTATGCGCATAGAGACCGTATGAATGCATTGACCTGGATAGTTTCCACGTGGCCAGCTGAAGCAGTATCAGGTGTTCAGATACTGTGCAGTGTGGTGGGAAAGGATTTTCCTTTCATATGCTGCAATGAAGAGCTGCACCTGGTGCAGTGTGGTGCTGTGCGGTGAGAGCATTGAACCGGAGCCATTGGCGGCCACCGTGGTAACTAACAAGCAAGGAAGTCAACTTTCAATGGACAGATTCTAGTGCTCAGGTTTTGTAACAAGTCATAGCATTTTTGTTGTAAAAGGAGCACCCAGTTTTGACTCTTAAGGTTGTGATGGTAGGGATGTCAAAAACATGTGGGACATTGTACAGCTCTTCAATATGACATGGTAATGCTTCCCATGAAAATAACAAGAATCCTCAAACCTGCATGTTCCTATGGCCTGCATCCTCAAACAGGCAAACCCTCGTCAGGTTCGCGTTCAACCGCACTAAAACCCATGTAACCGCAGTCGAACACAATGTAACAATCTCAACCACGCGAGGTTGATAAGAGGTCTAGGATGTTGTAGGAACATAAACCTTACGTGAGCATTTGGCCGAGTGGTTAAGGCGTGTGCCTGCTAAGTACATGGGCTCTGCCCGCGAGAGTTCGAATCTCTCAGTGCTCGCTTGAGATGAAGCTCATTCTAACCGTTTTGCCTCAATATTCGAGAAACTTGAAAAAAGGCTTGATGTTCCACCATTTTCGCCTTTCCCTTGACTAGTTTCAATCCATTGATTGAATGCTCTTTGAAAATGGCGTGGGAAAATAAAATAGGGTTCAGCTAGAACAGACAAGCGAAAGCTCTACATTACAGCAGGTCTGCTGCACAGATTCACCTTTTGACTACAATATCGAGGGGACAACGATCAAGGATGAGGAAAGCATTCAATGACATCCTCCAGCAACCACAGCCCTCTCTAATCCCGAAAGCCTTTCGCACTAAGATCAATAAAGACTCTAAAGCATGTCGCTGACAAAACCAGGTGCTCCCCATCTCAAAACTCCCAAACTCCACATCTACTACCCTGCTGCTCTTGCTACTGCTGGTGGTGTCAGCACCATGCCTAAGGGCCGCATTGTAAAACAGCTCAGATCCGATCCGATGCAGTACCTGCTGCCACCACATCCGTTGCGTTGAGATCATGCCCGTTCTTCGCACCAATCAATGTGAGACGCTATTCTCTCTCCAATGGCTCCCATCCCATCCCATCCGCCTCTAATCTGCCCATGCTACCGCTCCAAATCAAACCACCCACCAACCTAGTTTCAATCAATAATGTATCTATTCTGGTACACTGCAGTATGCTGATTCCACTGTGATACGCTGGTCTGTAGGCAATATTCTCTCCCATTGCCTTCCGATCAACATTCTCCCCTTACTTCCGCTGCGCTGCTCCCTTCAAACCGTGGCCCACCTTTCCCAACCCCACCTTCCCCAGGCCCACCTTCCCCAACCCCCCTCCGCTCTTCTTCGTCCCAAACGCCTCCTTGTGCAAAAACAGTGCGCCCCACCTTCCGCCCTTCTCCCCCTCCGCTTCCGCCTCCGCCTCCCCCTTGCTGCTCCGGATCCGCGCAGCCTCGTGCTGAAACACCACCAGAACCGTCCGCGTGGCCATCTGGAGAATCGTGTGGATGCATCGCTTGAAGATCGCGGGCGGCGCGAGTGACGGCTGCACCACCTGATGCAGCGTCAGCCGCGACGCCACGCGCACGCCCGCGCCGATCGCGGCGGCGTCCCCCGCGCCGGGGTCCGCGGAGCTCGGCAGGCGGTCCGGGCTGCTGCTGGCGCTACCAGGCCAGTCGGTTTCGCCTTCCGGCCGGCCCGACGGAAAAGAATCCGAGATGGGTGATTGCGGCGCGGAAGTGAAATTAGGGGAGCATGGCGCGGAGGAGGAGGAGATGGAGGCTAGAGAGGTCGGGAAAGGGGCATTCGCGGAAGACGCGGGGATGAGGAGCGGCTCGACCTGCCAGTAGCCCTCGAATTTGCGCATGAATCCGGGGTGCGTGAGGGCGAAAGTCATCCTGCGGTTCGGGCGATCGTGCACCATCCGCACTTGCGCGTCGAATGTGCCTGTAAAGAAGGGCAGCTGGAACGCGAAGACCATGTCCATCTCGAGCTCCTTCACCCCGTTACAGTCACTCACGACGCGCTCGTTCTTCACGGACTTGATGTTCTTGAACACGCGCCGGTTGTGCGGATCGCACACGACGGAGAACACCGAGTCGGGAGGGAGCGCGACCGTCGCGACGCCGTCGAGTTGACAGAGGGCGTTATCGCCGACGGTAACCGTCATTGACGGAACTTCGTCGACGAAGTCCGGATCGTCGAACCACGTGGCGAGCTGAGCGCGCATGGCCTCTTCCCAGGCCTCCGATGTGGCGGCAGCACTGCCTGACGTGGCGTTGGTTGCGGCTGACGTGGCGTCGGTTGCGGCTGACGGGGTGTTGACAGTGGTTGACGTGGCGTTGGTACCAGTGGGGGATACGAGCTTGGAGGTGGCGGCGAAATCGAGAATCGAAAGAAGTGAAGAAGCCATTGCGGAGGAGGTTAATCACTCGTTCGCGGAAGCGGTGACAGCACCCGAAAAGCGAGTACTAAAATCAGCTCTTAGAGTCTAGATGTGACGCACAGGCGACGCGACGTAGATGTCGCGATGCCCGGTAAAGATCTCAGCGACTATTCTTGACCCTTGCGCGCACTAAGGTCGTTTTCCCCTTGGTACGCAGACGGGAGCAGACGTCGAAAGCGGGCTCCGTCGAAGAAGAGAGGAGTGACAGCAGCGATGGGGACACGAAGGAGTGGCGACGGATGCGATGAACGAGCTTGGCGGAGGAGGGAAACCAGGAATCGGAGAGTGTCGGAAGTCGCGGGAAATCGGGATTTCGTAAGCAGAAAACCCTTTCCTGTGAGTGATGTGAATTATGATGGTGACTGGGACTGGCCTAGGCGGTGATCCAAAAAGCGCAGAGCACTGGCGAGTGAACTAGGGTGAAATGGTTACAGCAAGAATGAGGTATGACGAGCAAGATAGTGAATAGGGAAAATTGGATGTGACGGACAAAGGCGAGAGGCAAGAAAGCTGCAAGAATGGGAGAAAAGGGGGCTCGCCAGGCTTCCCTGGTAAGACTGCGCCTAGGGACTATCCAGCTGATACGTCTCCTGTACGGGTTTGCGTTTCATAACAGCTGAAAATGTAGGACATGAGAACATCACGTTTAACCGTTCAAGACCGACCTGAAATACGAACCGTGAACTGTAAATTACGACCTGCACAGCCAAGAGGATTGGTGGCTGAGATGACTATCTGGCGGTCCACGTGGCATCTGAGTAGGAATGTGCTGAGATGTCGATCGGAAATTTGACTACCAATTGCAGTGTGCTGATGTGGTTGTCTGTAACACAGGGTGATACTCAAGTAACAAAGATTTGGAGATGCAAGGCAGGAAATGGACGGGAATTCGCATCGCGTCACATTTCAGGAGAGAGGCGCAGGTGAGGGATCCTGTCTCGTAGTCACACCTGTCGGCGGTTCACTCTGAGGGTTGACGACTGACGACGACGACGACTTCACGACAGCCCTACTATTTCCCCGAGACGCCGTTACCCCCTTCACCAGAGTGCGACCTCATTGGTCACCGCATTCTAGTGACGGCCAAACCTGCCAGTTGCTGCGGGCGGGCGAGATGTTTGTGTGGTGTGAAACGAGTTGCGTTGCGGCTCGAAAAAAGAAAGGGTACCGAAGCTTCCCCGTATGTGTCAGCAGCAGCCAGCAACAGCTCGCGCCCTCCCTGGCTTTGTGTTTCGATATTGGAGTGCTCTTTAGTTGTAAATGGCCAGGACAACATGTTAAAACATTACATCTAAACATAACAGGAGTTCCCAAGTTGTTCATCGCTATTCCATTAGGACGCGTTATAATTGCAACCGACCCTGCAGGGGATCGGTGTTTGGGTGTACAGTATTTCGCATTGTCGTGTATCCCTTTTCGGTTGTTTTTCGCGAAAACTAAAGACAATTCGCATGGGCGATAGGTCTTCCAATATCGATCTGTCACCTCACTTAAAGCTGCGGTCTACATACTAAAAGGGGGTTTTGGGGGGTAATCTAGGTGCACACCCTTTGGTGCGCGATGACTTGAGAGCGAAGTGTGGTTTTCCCCCAAACACCTGTGCGATGAGTTCGCACAAAGTTGGCGATGTGAAACAATTTTGCGATTGGGTTTTCTTGGGGGAACAAATCCGCGGAAAGGCGGAAATTTCAGCGCCAAACACAAACAACCAAGCGGAAAGTTTTGCGCCCACCCCGCTCCCTCCTTCCGCCTCGATCGTTCGTTTCTTCTGGAGAGTCTGCTACCCTGTTTTCAAGTGATAAACCAGGGCCTGTCCCTCGAGGTATCTAGACCGCAGCTTTAAATCAGGCGTGTGCATTCTAAACTTACCGAAACGTCTTTAACGTTCGCGTCGCGACACATGTGGCTCGGTGGCGATAGATGCTCATAGCTTCGGTGTGTGATCTCGCACTCCTCCGGTGTTGCAATTGTGACGCGTCCTCACTATCGTTCAGTTGACTGCTTGGTTCTACCGAGGAACGATCGGTAATGTACAACAAGAGCGTCTGCACGTCTGGCTTCTGACGTCAGAGGCCTCATGATTCGATTCTGAAAAGGACCACTTGTTTTGGGGATGACGGTTCGTTCTGACCGTCACGGTTTCGTGGAGTGCAGAGCAGAGCAGTGCCCCTTTTTTTCCAGCCGAAGCTGTGGACAGTGGACAACTTCGCTCCTTGGTCGGATTTATTGACAGTGAAGCGAAGTGAGGAGGAGGGGGAGGAGGCAAATCTTTTAAGGCTGTGAGAAACTGGATAGAAGCTTCCTTCAGGCCGTCAGCATCGGATGTTGCCCCAAACTTGTGGGACACAAGTGACATCCACGCTTCCGGTGACGCGGGTTTTCAGAGCTCCCTGCCCCCGTTTCTGGACACCCTTCCAGTTTCAGGGGTTTTGGCGCGAGCCTCCTCGTTCGCTCAAAGCGGACACACTTCACACATGGTATGTACGGTATGTACATACCATGTATGAAGGCTGGGTGGGTTTCTTGGCTGATCCCCTCTCAACTGTTCAAGTTGGGCCCACCACTATTTTTTCACACTGAATATTTTTTCTGGGGTCGTTCGCTTCACTCACACCAATGCTCTCCCAGCTCATCTGGGGTGGAATGTGTACGCGCGAGTTGTGCATCCACCTGTGAGGTGAGGTGACGTGGGTGGGCCGGAATAACACAGTTGGTCAAAGAGCGAGTTCCACAGGTGTTGCGACAACTTTCGTCTTGCCCAAGAATCAGGGGACATGCTGAAAATAATTATCACCCTCATATGTTAGTAGATTCAAATAAGCATATGTCGCGTTTACTAAAGAAATCAAAACTGCTTGGAAAATCAGGCTGAACATTCACTTTGAAGAAGCTTTATATGTACGAGTGTCACGACTCTACCCACTGAGGGCTGGCTCCGTGTCTTGAGGCACCGTCAAATGTTCCTTTCCTTCGCAGGTCCATTCTGGAGTGTCCCTCTGGCTGACACTCACAGCACAGCCAAGTGTTTTTTCCCTCACTACGGTCCGTCAGTTCACATCGCATCACACCTACCAGGCAGACCTACGAAACCTCCACCAATCCTGCAACAACACCAGCTCCACGCGTCTACCCTCCACGAGTTTTGCTCCACATCCACTACCGATACTTCTCGTCCATTCAATGAGAATCAATTGCACCGCAGCGATTCGCTGGGAAACCTATGTGCCCTCCTCACCCTACACTCTCGACTCGCGTAACTAATTTCTACCGCATCGACGACGCTCCACCTCATCCATCAAACCACAGTTTCCTCCCACGAGTACCCCCAACCCAATCATCATTCATGCACCTAGCCTAGTATCCAGGTCTGTATTTGTGTACGCACCACTTGATTCTTAGTGGCTCGAGTCGTGTCCGCCGACCTAATGAGTAGCGCGGCCCTCGGTGTCGAGCCAATCTCTGTGGGGAAACGACATTGGTTCGGCCTAGCCCGCCGACCTAGAAAGCCACGAACCACAGATGGTGTGTATCGCGCGTGATTGGGTCCGCTCACTTTCAACGGCCCTTCAACGTTTGTACACTACATAACGCAAATGTTCAAAGCGAAGCAAACGTCGTGGTCAAGCAGCGCAATATATTTACTCCATCAACAAACTCGTCGCTTTCATTGCTCTGCCGTTGGCCTTCTCTGCTCCGTGCGCTACCCATCGCCCTCACCTCAAGGTTTGCTGCAATCACTGTCAACGCCCGCCGCAGAGCAAGACCAACGTTCTCTACGCAGCGTAATCAGCGAAGCGCTTTTTCCCATACGAAACGCTTCCGCCCTCAGCTGTGCAAGTTCATCGCTTTCGCAACACGCGCAGCTCCGTACTCCCTCTCGCTCCTGTCATTCACGCCGACCGGCGCTTATGGAGAGCCCTTCACTTTCATCGCTGATCGATCCTTCCATTGACTTCCACGTCCCACAACCCGTACACGAGCTAGCGACGACCGCCATGGCTTCCGGCCTTCTTTCTCTCCAGCCGCCCTCGCCCCTCGATTTTGACGACACCACGGACGCCACGGACTCCACGTCAGCCACAATCAGCGCCTTGAATATCACCAATGCCACGTCAGAGCCTTGGGAAGAGGCCATGCGCGCTCAGCTCGCCACGTGGTTCGAAGACCCGGACTTTGTCGACGAGGTTCCGTCGATGGACGTCGTTCCCGGCGAAAAAGGCGTTGGTCTTAACCTTGACGGAGACGCGATCGTCGCGCTTCCTCCCGACGCCGTCTTCTCTATGCTGTGCAACGCGCACAACCGCCGAGTTTATAGGAACGTTAAGGCGGCGAAGAACGAGCGCGTCGTGAGTGACTGTAACGGGGTTAAGGTGGTCGAAATGGACCTCACGTTCGCCTTCAGACTGCCCCCCTTTACAGGAACGTTCGACTCGCACCTGCTCTTTGTCTATGATCGCCCGAAGCGCAGGGTCACGTTCACACAAACGCGCAACGGCTTCATGCGCAAGTTCGAAGGCTACTGGCAGGTCGAGTCGCTCCTCATCCCGGCGTCCGCTGCCCCCTCTTCCTCCGCCTCTTCCTCGCCCTCCCGCCCTTCTTCCCCCACTTCCTCCGCCCCCTCCCCCCCAATCGGCACTTTCGGCTCGTCCCCGCAATCGCCGCTCTCCGAAGTTTGCGGCGGCCCGGGTGACCGCGATTTTGCTGCAGATCTCGTAGGAGCTTTTGCCGCAAGAACCGGCAGCGGTTACCGCGTGGCGTCGCGGCTGGTGCTGCATCAGTTCGTGCTGCCGCCCATCGCGCCGCCGAACATTTTCAAGCGCTGCCTGCGCGCCCTGCTCCGCGAGTCGACGCGCGATGTGCTGGCAATTTTCCAGGAGGAAGCTGCGCGGATTCGTCGCAACAAGGGGAAGGAAGAAGTGGAGGAGGAGGGGGGGAAAGGAAAGGCGGGGAAGAGCTCGAAGCTGGGTGCGATGTTTTTGCACAAGGAGGCGCTTGGGGGGAAGAAAATGGGGTTCAGCGCGGGGAAAGGGGTTTTCGGGCTGAAAAAAATGGCGCAGCGGAAGGCCGCGTGAGGGTCTGGTGGCCTCATCTGACGTTTCTGCATTACAGCACAACAGAGTACAGCACAGTACAGTCTCAGTACGGTGCGGTACGGTTCCTTCCAGTGCAGTGCAGTGCAGCTTAGTTTGGTACTGTAGCCCAGTACAGCAGAGTGGAACGCACTGCGGTGCATGGGACTAATGAGGTACGGGTGTGAGAAGTTCGGGCAGTGATCAAGGCGTGGCTCTTATGCATGGTGCTGACAGCAGCAGTTGCCAATGATGGGTGGAGTATGGAGCTGCAGCGAATGCTCTGTTGTCCCCTGGTGTTGTCAGCACCATGCTTTCGAGCAGAGAGTCTGCAACGGTGGGACATTTAGGGTTGAACAGGCTCAGCTATTTTTATATTTTCTATTTCCATGTTTGATCTTTGAGCATTGTATTTTCACTTGATACATACCTTTGTGGCTTTCCTTCACCAAAATCGTTTTGAAGCACGTAGACAGATCATTAGAATTCACGAACCTTGGGTTTTTCAATCATCTTGGTCGTGCTGGCAGTTCAAGCTGGACATTTCCATTTCCGCTGAGACATTCCCACATTTATCATGCCCATTTCCTCCTCGCGAAACATCACTTCGTTTCGCCAAGCAGAGAAGAGCACATAGGTACCTGTGCTCGAGTGATCGGGATTCGGGTTGCTTGCTTCGCCTTGAGGGTCGTCGACGTGGCACATCCCTTCGGGATCCCTCTCATGGTGTTGGTCTGGCCAAGTGCTGGAAAGGAAATGCCATGAATCACACGCACGGTAGACCAAAGGACCAGAACCAGACCAGACACGAACCAGACTCACACCGCGAAAGTATTGGTCTCCAAAGACGGAAGCTCGGGGTAGCGCTGGTAAGTTAGGTCCGGAGTCCAAGGCAGCCTCTCACCCCACCACACCCCAACCACATACCCGCCCTGGCCAATCGGAACGAGCCATCACCACCCCAAACCACATAGCCCGTACCAGTGTCGTCTCGTTTCTCCCCGACGTACTGACTGTCGATTGCGTGTGGGTGGTTCCACCACCTGACACCGGAATCAGGTAGTGTTCGTCAATTGGCTGTGAGCTCCACTCGTCCGGAAGTTCTTGGCTGGGAAAGCAAGCCGCGGGACGGTACACGCGTTTCGTTCGAACCATCCAGGAGCGCACCGTACGGGCAACTCCTGGTTCACAATCACCACCAGGTGAATCATGATCCTTCCCAAGAGCACGCTGCGCCACGTCTCGCGATTTCACTAGACTCGACTCGACAGCTCCCAGCCATCCATCTTGCGACGGAACCCCCGTACCGCCAATCCCAGCCCTCCGCGCGATCTTCGCGCATCTAGCCCAACGTCCAAGTGTCGCCGCCGACCTAAACCAGAACGAACCAGGGTCTACTCTAAAACATTAGGTCGGCTACCAGTCACCACTAGTAGTTTCATTCGTTCGTTCTCTCTCTCTGGCACCACGCGCGCCACCGCGTAGCATTTCATCAGATGGCGTCTAGCGTCGCTCGCGACGCGAGCCTTGGGGCCGCCCGGTGCGCGGTGCGGCCAGCTATTGGAACGCCATCCTCTCATTCCGTGCACTCCAGAATCCAGATCCCTCTTGTCACTTGTGCCCGTCTGCGCTGGCGCGTACGTATAAATTCCAGCTGACTGTACAAGCAAGACACATCATTAGTAAGCCAGCGGACGACACCGAGTGCGTAAGACTACGCAGCAGCGCAGTTCTCGCCTACCTAAACAACTTAATTCGAGCGGTGCTTCTCAGAATCAACTTGAAGAGTTACTACAGCTTCGCTTACACTGCCGTTATCCGACTGCCATGTCACCCGCTAACGCCACGTCAGCCACTATCCAAACCGCGTCAGAACCCTGGGAGGAGTCAATTAGCTCGCAGCTCGCCGCATGGTTCGACGACTCGCACTGGACGGACGAGCCGCCTTCAATGACAGTTACCGTTGGAGACCACGGCCGCGGCCAGCTAGACGGCGTCGCGACCGTCGCGCTTCCCCCGGACACGGTTTTCTCTATCCTGTGCGACCCGCACAACCGCCGCGTGTTCACGTTCATAAAATCCGTCAAGAACGAGCGCGTCGTGAGTGACTGTAACGGGGTGAAGGTGGTCGAGTTGGACATAGTGTTCGCGCTCAAGGTGCCCTTCTTTACAGGCACGTTCGACGCGCACCTGCGCAACGTGCACGACCGCCCCAACCGCAGGGTGACCTTCTGCCTGTCGCGCCCCGGCTTCATGCGCAAATTCGAAGGCTACTGGCAGGTCGAGCCACTCCTCGTTCCCGCTTCTGCCACTTCCGCCGCTTCCGCCACCGACACGACGCAGTTTCCCCCTTCCCCCTCTCCCCCAGCCCCTTCGTCGCCCCTGCCTTCCGCATCCACCGAGGAGCCCTTCCCAATCGCTTCCTTGGAGTTCGCTCCGCAATCGCCGCTCTCGGATGTCATGTTTCTCGGGAGCTCGTGCGACAGCGAATCCGGGTCGGATTTGGATTCGGATCCTTTTGACAGCGCTGGAAGCAATTCGTCTGGCAGCGCCAGCAGCAGGCCTTCCCGTGTAGTACCAGGCCCCGCTGCCGCGAGCGTTGGCGGCATGTGTGATGGCGTGTCAGTCGGGGACGGCATGCGCGTGGCGTCACGGCTGGTGCTGCATCAGGTGGTGGAGCCATCGCTGGCGCCGCCCGCGATGTTCCGACGCTGCGTGCACACGCTGCTCAAGGCGGCCACGCGTGACGTGCTTGTCGTTTTCCAGTACGAAGCCGCGCGGATTAGGAGCGGCAAGGGGAAATTCCCCTGTAAAAATGGGGCGGAAGTAGGCGCAGATGAGGGGGACGGGGGGGAAGGAAAGGGAGGGAAGAGCTCGAAGCTGGGTGCGCTGTTTTTGCACAAGGAGGCGCTTGGGGGGAAGAAAAGCGGGTTCGCCGCGGGGAAGGGGAGTTTTGGGTGGAAGAGACCGGCGCAGCGGAAGGCATGAAGTGGGGGTGAAGCTGATAGCGCACTATGGATACAGTGCAACAAAGCAGGCTGCCGAGGGTTACTCATCCTTTGGCATGGGCGGTAAGTAACCCGTGGGATCTGCAGTGCTGAGAGCAGCAAGGTGCGCCTGCATTACTAGGAGATTAAGACAGTTTTAGAGTTACTATGGCCCACATGCATGGTGCTGACAGCAGCAGCAGAAGCAGCAGCAGCAGCAGCAGCAGCAGCAGCAGCAGAGCCTGTGCAATCCTCGGGGGCACATGAGCAGTCAGCCCTCAGTGGGTCATCATGTGGCCTCAGGATTGCACAAGGCTTTGGCAGCAGCGAGTAGCTTGGAAGGAGAATGACCCCTGCTGCTGTCAGCATCATGCATTTGAGCCACTACGTATTCTAATAGGGTGGAGAGTGGAACAGCTACGGTAGGTCCCACAAGGAGGCCATGCCTTGTTCATGTTTTTTGCTGAAATTAGGAGTTGTGCGCTATTGTTATAAAGTGAAGCTACAATGAAATGCCAATTGCATGAATGGAACCCTCAAAGCACCATAAGGCATCCTTAGGAAAGTAGTCTACTGTGGCCTGAGCAGCTACAATGGCTCGCACTCCAGGGTACAAGAATAAGCCGGTGAATTCATAACGTGTTCTATTTTGATAGTACCTTAACCGATATATACGGAATATGGGGCATATCAAGATGGTTGCTCGCTCCACCGTAGTTTTGTTGCGACAGCACAGGACCTCCGTTTCGTGCTGGCTCGTTTCTGAAGCCGGAACATGGCAATGGCGGCTGTGTTGTGTTGCATGCAGCAGCGACTGCTCCACGGCACCACAGGAGTGAGCTGAGGGTTTTGTTGTTCATGACTGGTTCATTTCCTGAGCCAGTATATTACGAGGAACGTGGTGCATGCGGCAATGACTGCCCCGAGGATGAGAGTGTCGCGCGACTTCTTTCGCCGGATGGCCCCTGCAGGTATGGTTAAGGGGGCGAGGGGGTGGAGAGGGGGAGGCGGCCAGGGAGAAGGGAGTGGAGAACAGGAAGGAATGAGGGATTATAGTGCCACAGGACTTGAATGCCCCGAGAATGAGAGTGTCGCGCGACTTCTTTCGCCGAATGGCCCCTGCAGGCATGGGCGGGGGGGGTGAGGGGAGGGAAGGGAGAACGAGGAGGAATGAGGATGGAAGCGGCACAGGGCTTGACTGCTCCAAGAATGAAATTGTCGCGACTTTTAATGCGCCTCAAAGAATTAAGGTGAAACTAGACTACCCCGAGAATGAGCGTGTGGCGCGACTTTTTTCGCCAAATGGCCCCTTGCAGGCGTGGGCCGGGCGGGGGAGGAGCGGGTGGGGGAGGAGCGGGCGGGGGAGGAGGGGGTGGGGGAGGAGGGGGTGGGGGAGGATGGGAAGAGGGGATGGGAGAGCAAGGAGCGATGAGGGGATGCAAGGCCCACAGGACTCGACTGCCCCCGGGAATGAGAGAGGCGCAGAATTTCTTTGAGGTGCCTTAAAAGCCGTCTCTCTAGCAGCAATTTGTAGGGATGAGAGTGTTGCAGGGCTTGCTCCTGGGAATGGCAGCTGCAGGGGGGGGGGGGGGTGAAAGGGGAAGAGATGGGGAAGGGGAGCGGGAGAGAGTGCAAGGTTGCGCTTGTGAAAGGCATGTGGACGAATGGGATGAGTGTAGGGAAGCGATCGGGGTGGGGGTGTGGGGGGAGGGGGTGGGATGGAGGTGAAGAGAGAGAATAGGGGGGAAGAGAGGGGGCAGCCGGGGGAGATACGTTGTGAGGCGCATCAGTTGTAAGGCATGCGCAGGAATGGGACGTGTACGGGGAAGCAATGGCAGGAAGAGTGATGGAGGTGAAGAAAGCGAATCGGGGGGGATACGATTTGCATGGCGATGACGTCTCAGCCAGCGGAGGTACGATTTGCGACGTATCGGATGAAATGTTTTTTTAGAGTTCTCAGAAAACCATTTGCGTACGCCATGGCATTTTCTGGGACGCCTCAAGTGATGCCCACATACAGACATGCGCACACATGAACAACGCACTGAGCACGCTTCTGAGCAGAGGGAAGCGGTCTAAGGGCAGAATCATACCAGCAGCACTGAACTGAGCTCAGCAGCACCACACAACACACAGATGCACCGATGCAACGTACCGAGCACGCTTCTCAGCAGAGGGAAGCGGTCGGAGAGCAACTTGATGCGGCCTCAAGCGCTAACCAAGCACCCCAAGCGCACCGACACAACGTACCCAGCACCACTAAGCGATGCAACGTACCCAGCACCACTAAGCGATGCAACGTACCCAGCACCACTAAGCGATGCAACGTACCCAGCACGCTTCTGAGCAGAGGGAAGCGGTCGGAGAGCAGCTTGATGCGGCCCTGAATGCTCGCAAAGAGCGATCGCTGCGGCGCCAGAGCTGCCTTGGTGCTGGCTGCATGTGAGATGAGCTCGTCCATCTGAAGGGTGCGGAAGGGGCAGGGTGGGGTGAAGTGGAATGGGGTGGGGCAAGAATGGGATCTGGGGCACGGGCATCGTTCGTGCACCTCGCACCAGGCTGCCTTGGTGCTGGCTGCATGTGAGATGAGCTCGTCCATCTGAGCAGGGTGCGGTGGGGTGGGATGGGTCGGGGTGGGATGGGGGCAGGAATGGAAAGAGGATCGGGGATTGGGGCACTGGAATTTGGGCATCCATTTCAGCTGGGTGGAGGGCAGGAAATTGTTATGGTAACCTGAGATTGGTGGCATTAGTCGAAATTCGTCGGGAATAGCTTTAGTTTATGCTGCTATCAGTTGAGTTACCTGAGCAGGGCTGTTACAATCACCTGAGCTATGTTGATATCACCTGGGCAGGGCTGTTGAAATCACCTGAGCTATGTTGCCGTGAATTGCCCGCCTCTCCAGCAATTGACTTTGGCTCGAACCTGACGGCTGCTCGTGCGGAGGTGACATGGGAAAAAGGAAAGAGTTGGAAGAGGGGAGAAGTAAGAGAGCAATTGCTGATACAGCCTCATGGGAAGCAGCACAGAGGATTCAAAGCAAAATGAGTAAGCGTGAAAACATGAGAGGCGCAGCAGTATTGAGGTTGATTTTGAGAATTCTCAAAATCAACCTCGCACGGCACAGCAGAGGCAAGCAGCGCACCACAAGAAGGTCGGCACTGGCAGTGGTGGATGGGCGTGAGGAGGACGTGAGGGAGGCATGGCTCATCACAGGCAAGCAACATGCATGGCAACTCACAGGCAAGCTGTGGGCCATGCCACATGAACAAGAAAGGCAGCGCACCACAAGGAGGTCGGCGGTGGCAGTGGTGGATGGGCGCGAGGAGGAGAGCAGCTCCGCATGTTGCCTCATCATGGCCAGATTGCCCCTCGTGCGCCGAAACTCCTGTTAGACAAGTCGTGGTTCAGAGTGTAAGGGGGGGGAGGGGGGGAGAAGAGGGTGGAAGAGGCGGGGAGTGTAACAGGCAGGGAGGACGAGAGCAGCTCCGCGTGCTGCCTCATCATTGTCAGATTGCCCCTCGTGCGCCGAAACTCCTGTCAGGGGGTAAAGAGGGGACAGGGAGGGGTGTGATGTAAGTGCGGTTGAGTGTAGGGGGATGGAGCTGCCTCATCAGTGCCAGATTACCCCTCGTGCGCCGGAATCCCTGCCAGGGGTAGTAGAGGAAGTAAAGAGCGGACAGGGAGGGATGTGATGCAAGCATGGATGAGTCATGGAGGAATGGAACTGCCTCATCTCATCATGGCCAGATTGCCCCTCGTGCGCCGAAACTCCTGCCAGGGAAGTCATGGTTCAGAGTGTAAGGGACAGGGAGGGATGTGATGCAAGCATGGATGAGTCATGGAGGAATGGAACTGCCTCATCTCATCATGGCCAGATTGCCCCTCGTGCGCCGAAACTCCTGCCAGGGAAGTCATGGTTCAGAGTGTAAGGGACAGGGAGGGATGTGATGCAAGCATGGATGAGTCATGGAGGAATGGAACTGCCTCATCTCATCATGGCCAGATTGCCCCTCGTGCGCCGAAACTCCTGCCAGGGAAGTCATGGTTCAGAGTGTAAGGGACAGGGAGGGATGTGATGCAAGCATGGATGAGTCATGGAGGAATGGAACTGCCTCATCTCATCATGGCCAGATTGCCCCTCGTGCGCCGAAACTCCTGCCAGGGAAGTCATGGTTCAGAGTGTAAGGGACAGGGAGGGATGTGATGCAAGCATGGATGAGTCATGGAGGAATGGAACTGCCTCATCTCATCATGGCCAGATTGCCCCTCGTGCGCCGAAACTCCTGCCAGGGAAGTCATGGTTCAGAGTGTAAGGGACAGGGAGGGATGTGATGCAAGCATGGATGAGTCATGGAGGAATGGAACTGCCTCATCTCATCATGGCCAGATTGCCCCTCGTGCGCCGAAACTCCTGCCAGGGAAGTCATGGTTCAGAGTGTAAGGGACAGGGAGGGATGTGATGCAAGCATGGATGAGTCATGGAGGAATGGAACTGCCTCATCTCATCATGGCCAGATTGCCCCTCGTGCGCCGAAACTCCTGCCAGGGAAGTCATGGTTCAGAGTGTAAGGGACAGGGAGGGATGTGATGCAAGCATGGATGAGTCATGGAGGAATGGAACTGCCTCATCTCATCATGGCCAGATTGCCCCTCGTGCGCCGAAACTCCTGCCAGGGAAGTCATGGTTCAGAGTGTAAGGGACAGGGAGGGATGTGATGCAAGCATGGATGAGTCATGGAGGAATGGAACTGCCTCATCTCATCATGGCCAGATTGCCCCTCGTGCGCCGAAACTCCTGCCAGGGAAGTCATGGTTCAGAGTGTAAGGGACAGGGAGGGATGTGATGCAAGCATGGATGAGTCATGGAGGAATGGAACTGCCTCATCTCATCATGGCCAGATTGCCCCTCGTGCGCCGAAACTCCTGCCAGGGAAGTCATGGTTCAGAGTGTAAGGGACAGGGAGGGATGTGATGCAAGCATGGATGAGTCATGGAGGAATGGAACTGCCTCATCTCATCATGGCCAGATTGCCCCTCGTGCGCCGAAACTCCTGCCAGGGAAGTCATGGTTCAGAGTGTAAGGGACAGGGAGGGATGTGATGCAAGCATGGATGAGTCATGGAGGAATGGAACTGCCTCATCTCATCATGGCCAGATTGCCCCTCGTGCGCCGAAACTCCTGCCAGGGAAGTCATGGTTCAGAGTGTAAGGGACAGGGAGGGATGTGATGCAAGCATGGATGAGTCATGGAGGAATGGAACTGCCTCATCTCATCATGGCCAGATTGCCCCTCGTGCGCCGAAACTCCTGCCAGGGAAGTCATGGTTCAGAGTGTAAGGGACAGGGAGGGATGTGATGCAAGCATGGATGAGTCATGGAGGAATGGAACTGCCTCATCTCATCATGGCCAGATTGCCCCTCGTGCGCCGAAACTCCTGCCAGGGAAGTCATGGTTCAGAGTGTAAGGGACAGGGAGGGATGTGATGCAAGCATGGATGAGTCATGGAGGAATGGAACTGCCTCATCTCATCATGGCCAGATTGCCCCTCGTGCGCCGAAACTCCTGCCAGGGAAGTCATGGTTCAGAGTGTAAGGGACAGGGAGGGATGTGATGCAAGCATGGATGAGTCATGGAGGAATGGAACTGCCTCATCTCATCATGGCCAGATTGCCCCTCGTGCGCCGAAACTCCTGCCAGGGAAGTCATGGTTCAGAGTGTAAGGGACAGGGAGGGATGTGATGCAAGCATGGATGAGTCATGGAGGAATGGAACTGCCTCATCTCATCATGGCCAGATTGCCCCTCGTGCGCCGAAACTCCTGCCAGGGAAGTCATGGTTCAGAGTGTAAGGGACAGGGAGGGATGTGATGCAAGCATGGATGAGTCATGGAGGAATGGAACTGCCTCATCTCATCATGGCCAGATTGCCCCTCGTGCTTCAGCGATGCCGTGGCAGCCGTGCCCTCGCCACCGACACCACCGGCAGCACGAGCAGCAGCGGCAGCAGCAGCACCACCACCACTACTCCACCACCAACAGTACCACCACCAAGGATCCCACACACACCTGAGTGAACTCTTGCAAAATGTCCCGATAACGAGCCACCTTCTGAGACAGCGACGCCGTGGCAGCAGTGCCCTCCCCCCCGACACCAGCACCACCGGCGGAGCAGCAGCTACCCCCCACTTCCCACAGCAGGGCAGCCCCGGTTCACTCACACATAACACACCCACGTACCTGAGTGAACTCTTGTAAAATGTCCCGATGCCGGGCCACCTTCTGAGACAGCGACGCCGTGGCAGCCGTGCCCTCGCCACCGACACCACCACCGGCAGCGGAGCAGCAGCGCGCCATGCGGTTGTTGGTGTCAGCAAGGCGTTGCAGCTGCGCCTCTATTGCTTTTTCCACCGCCACCACTGACCCCTCGCTGCCCCCCTCGCCCCCCTCGCCGTACCCTGTGGGGGCGGGGCGGGGGGAGCGGGGGGAGTGGCGGGAGTGGGGGCGGGGGGGGGGGGGAAGGCGGGGGAATGGGGAAGGCGTGGGGCCAGAGCGGCGTTGAGAAGAGGGGAGGGAGGCAAGATGGGAGGGAGCGGCAGCAGAGCAGCAGCGCGCCATGCGGTTGTTGGTGTCAGCCAGGCGCTGCAGCTGCGCCTCTATCGCTTTCTCCACCGCCACCACCGACCCCTCGCTGCCCCCCTCGCCTCCTTCGCCGTACCCTGGGGGGAAGGTGGGGGAGGCGGGGGGAACGGGGGCCCGGGAGGGGGGGTACGAGGCGGGGAAGCGTGGGGAGCGGGGGGGAGGGGAGAGGCCGATGGGAGGGGGACGGAGAGGGGAGGGGCGAGAACAACGATGAGAGGAGGGAGGGAGGGAGGCACGATGCATGGCAGAAGCACCGGCGGCGCAGCAGGTGGCCATGCGGTGGTTGGTGCGGCTCAACTCAGGTGCTGCAGCTGCGCTTCTATCGCCTTCTCCATCGCCACCACCGACCCCTCGCTGCCGCCCTCGCCCCCCTCCCCCCCTCCCCACCCATGCGGTGGTTGGTGTCGCTCAGGCGCTGCAGCTGTGCCTCTATCGCCTAAACTGGACATGCTAATTCAACATTCTTATCCACCGCCACCACCGACCCCTCGCTGCCGCCCTCGCTGCCGCCCTCGCCCCCCTCGCCGGTAAGGGAATTACGCGGGTGGGGAGGCGAAGCGCAACGAAAAATGAGGGAGGGATGGGGAGAGGAGGAATGAGAGGATGGAAAGGGGTGAGGGGGAAGCGAACGGGCGCGACGAATCTTTTCCTCCCTCGCTTTGTGCTCGTTCGGTAACCAGAAAAACCCTTATCCATACGCGACGACAGCATGCATTGCTGACCGTTGAACCACCCGCCGTTGCGCGACCAGCATGCTGCACAGCTCGGCGTATGGCGATAGATGTCGCACAATGTCGCACGGCTGGTCGCAAACCGTCGCATGAACCACTCACCGCTATGCGACAGCATGCTGCAGAGCTTGGCGTACGACGACAGCTTCACGTCCAGGTCGCCCTCCAGCTTCCGCGCCTCGCGCCGAAGCTCCTCCCACGGCGCGCCCGAGTCGTCCGCGGCCATTCTCCCTCGCCGTTGCCAACAGCGAGTTCGACAGGCTCGACGCTCAAGAGGCTCGACGGCTCGACGTTCGGGTTCGACGTTCGGGTTCGACGCTCGGGTTCGACGTTCGGATTCCACGTTCGGGTTCCACGTTCGGGTTCGATCGCAACACGCCGTTCAGCAGGTCATGCTTCCTCGTCCAGTAAGTGCAAGTGCAAGTGCAGATTATAGCATATATTCCGCAGTTATATGCTGTCTAATGTTTACAAGTGTTAAACTGGTTCTTCGTACTGTCTTACAGAAACTATCGCGCGGTTCTATGTAGAGTGATTCTAGTAAGGCGCTTTTTGGAGAATAGAAACTACTTCATGCACTGCTGAAGGCATCTAGAGCACGGAATAAGGTAAAGTATTCTCAGAATACTGGAAGACGCTTTAAACAAATTATATCATCCATCTGATATAAAAGCCACCTAGACGAGAACGCGTGGTTCTGCAGTAAGAACCTAATTCAAAATCCAGTCAGGGCGACAGGATAGCCAGCCTGCATGTAGCGATCTTTACTATTGCACGTTGTGGTTTCAGAATTTCGACCCGAATTCATCGCGATGTTATCGGCAGTGGTACGCAAGACTAGGGATGTAATTTGCCCAGGAGACCTTCGACAAAATGACCATGTAGGGATCTCTGTATCCCACTCGGAAGGAATACTCTGGAATCTGACCGTTGGTTGCGATGGGACCGACTAGGGACCAGATGGTTTCCACGGATTTGTAAACGGCAGAGTAGGGCTTCAATAGTAAACGGATTCTGCGTACCCTGTACGATCGGTATAATTGGGTATGATTCGGATGAGGTTCGACGGTACCAGGGAGGCAGGTTTCGGAGTCTTTGCGAATGTCTTGGTAACCCTACAGTTTGCCATCGCGACGTCCGCACTGGGCCGATCAAGGCTCTCTCGAACTTGTCAGTAACTCTGTATGGAGCCTGGTAACCCAGCACCTTTCGACTTCGCTTCGCGAACACCGACAGGTGCCGTTTCACAGGAACTGAAGTTCAGGCGAAACGTCCGTAGTGATTTCGCAGAAATGTTGTGTACCGTTCAATATTCAAGCCTCAAGAAACCCAATTCCCAGACCACCATTTCGAGTGCCCTGTGAAAGCCCGCATTTCACGCAACACGATTGGGGGGTTTAGACCAAGGCTCAGAACACACATTTTATTCAGGGGTGAGAAAAAGGCTCAGAACGCGCTTCCTTACAGCGGGGTGGAAAACAAGGCGGCATTGGCGCTAGAGCGCGCAGCGGGATGCGGAGCGCGAGGTCGACAGACAAGGGCGGTCGCACCAAGTCCAACTGGCCGGACACTCCCACCGCGTTTCAGAATCTAGCGCCTCGGAAGCGCGACGAGGCACGTGCTGCTCTTACCGCCATCGCCGCCGCTGCTGCACCTGCCGTCGCCGCCCGTCGCCGCCACCTCCTGATGCTCTCGCCATCCTCCGCCAAACCCTCTCCACTTCCCTAATGCGCTCCCCGCAACCCACCTCCACTCTCCCCTCGCGAGCCTCTCCCCTCAGCATTGCCATGGGCTTCATTCCTCACCCTGTATCCCCATCCCCCCGCCTCCCACTTCCCCTCTCCCCTCTCCCTCTCCCCCCATTTCCCCTCACCCCTTCCCCCCCACTTCCCGCTTCCCCCCTTCCCCTCTTCCCTCCCCTCTCCCTTTTCCCCCCGCCCAGCCCTCCCCCTTCTCCCCCTGGCTCTCGCGCGCACTGCTCTTCCTCCCCGGCCTCGCCACAGGCTTCATTCTCGGCCGCCTGCTGGGGGGAAGCGGGGGAAGCGGGGGGTGCGGAAAGGGCGCAGGGGGGAAGAAGGGGGAGCTGACTGCAGGGGGCGGGGGGAGCAGTAGCGGGCGGAAGGGGGGCGGGGGCAGCGCGGGGGGGAGATCAGCGCCAGTGTTTGGGGGGAAGGCGGAGACAGATGGGGCGGGGGGGCTGGTGGTGGGGCGGGGGAGTGAGCTGAAAATGGTGCTGGTGGTACGGCAAGATCTGAAGATGGGCGCGGGGAAAATTGCCGCCCAGTGTGCTCGTGAGTGAGGGAGGGGGGACTGGTGGTGGGGGGCTGGTGGTGGGGCGGGGGAGCGAGTTAAAAATGGTGCTGGTGGTGCGGCAGGATCTGAAGATGAGCGCTGGGAAGATCGCCGCCCAGTGTGCCCGTGAGTGCCGCCCAGTGTGCCCGTGAGTGCCGCCCAGTGTGCCCGTGAGTGAATTTTGAGTCGACTCTAAAATGGTGGTGGGGTGGGGGAGTGAGCGCAAGATGGTGCTGGCGGTGCGACAGGATCTCAAGATGAGTGCGTGCAAGATTGCCGCCCAGTTTGCCCGTGAATGCCGCCCAGTTTTCAGTCTCTCTCGCAACCCTCTAACCCACAACCATTCCGCCCATGCGCTCTCCCTCTCCCTCTGGTCATCGTGCAATCTGCAGCAGTCTGGTCTCCCATGATCCAGCAGCTTGCGCTGCACCCACCTCCTCCGCCTTCCCCTTCGTCTCCCACTCATCTCCCTTTCACCTTCCCCTCTCGCCTCCCCCCTACCAGATGCGGCAGTGGGTATTCTCACCGACCTCCAATCAAGGTGCGCTTCTCTCCTCCTCCTATCCCTCTCTCTCTCTGCCGCACCTCTTATTGGCCTCCGATCGAGCTGCCCTCCCTCTCAGCTCCGACTGTCTCCTTTTCAAACTCAACGTGCTGCTGCTTGCAGTAGCAACACGTCCCTCCCTCTCTCCTCCAAATTCCCTTCTCCTTCCTCTTCTTCCTCGCACCCCACCCTCCTCTTCTCTGTCCCTTCCCCCCATACCTCTTCCCTGCCTGCCTATCTGCCTGCCTACCTGCCTGCCTAACTACCTGCCTGGCCGCCTACCTGTGAGTGTGCAGCAACAAGGCGTTGCTGCGACACTACGAGGCGTGTGGGCAGCCCAAGATTGTGGTCTCCTGCAGCAACCTTAAGGAGATGTGAGGCTCCTGCTTTGGAACAAGCGTTGCAACAACCTGTATCAATATATTGTCTTTGGTGACTTTCTTCCTTCGGCTTGGTTTTCCCCCGCATTATGTGCGCTCACACGTGCGTCATGCCCCGGTGATTTCAGCACCGTACATCCCTGTAAACCACTTAACAACGCTGTGCACCACTGTGCACCACTGTGCAGGAACGAGCTGAGAGGGAAGGCACAGCAACACCGGTTGCCAGTCTTCACTGTCTGCGATGCCGGCAGGACTCAGGTGGGTCTCAGGTGATGCCGGCAGGACTCAGGTGGGTCTCAGGCGATGCTTGGAGGACTCAAATGGGCTTCAGGTGATACTTCAAGTGACGCTGGTTTCTGTATTTTTGTCCTTGTAAAACCCATGCGCCACCTCCCTGTCCCCCGCCTCAACTCCTCCTGCAGCTGGCAGCACTGTCATGTCTCAACTCCAAGACAGTGCTTGCCATGGGACCAGGTCTGTCTGTGCCCTCTCTTTCTGAGACGTCTCAAAAGCCATCGCCCATGCTCCCCCTCACGCTCCCCCTCCCATGCTCCCCCTCTCATGCTCCCCCTCTCACGCTCCCCCTCCCATGCTCCCCCTCTCATGCTCCCCCTCTCACGCTCCCCCTCCCATGCTCCCCCTCTCATGCTCCCCCTCTCACGCTCCCCCTCCCATGCTCCCCCTCTCATGCTCCCCCTCTCACGCTCCCCCTCCCATGCTCCCCCTCTCATGCTCCCCCTCTCACGCTCCCCCTCCCATGCTCCCCCTCTCATGCTCCCCCTCTCACGCTCCCCCTCCCATGCTCCCCCTCTCATGCTCCCCCTCTCACGCTCCCCCTCCCATGCTCCCCCTCTCATGCTCCCCCTCTCACGCTCCCCCTCCCATGCTCCCCCTCTCATGCTCCCCCTCTCACGCTCCCCCTCCCATGCTCCCCCTCTCATGCTCCCCCTCTCACACTCCCCCTCCCATGCTCCACCACCTGCCACTCCCTGCCCAATTCCCCCCATGGCAGGTAGCAGCAGGGTCCAAGACGGTGCTTGCTGTGGGACCAGGTCCGTGCCCTTCCAACACACTCTCACCCCACACACTCCTTCCACTAACGCTCCTCGTTTTCAATCTCTTTGTTCCTCCACACCCAGTTTTTTCACACCGCCCTCCCTCTCCTACCCTCTCTCCCCACACGCTGCCGCTGGTTGGGTGCAGCCTGCTGCTGCTGTTCCTTCAGGGTGTTTTTGAGAATTCTCAAAAACACCGCTGGTTGCAGCCTGCTGCTGCTGTTCCTTGCTCCCTCTGCACTCTTTTCACTCCTCAGGCAATATTGCTCACTTACCTCTTCTTGTCAATGCCCCTTTCATTCACTTTTCAGTTCACTTTCTCCCCTCATGATCTTTCCCCCAATTTCCCTATTTTGTCCCTTCTCCCTCCTATGTTTCCGCCCTTCACTCACTTTCTCATTCCCCACCTCCCCCCTTCACTCTTCCTCACTGCTTCCCGACATTGCCCCTCCCACCCCATGAGCACCCCACTCACATTACGCACGCTTGCCGCATACCATGCAGGTCCAAAGGCACTCGTCGATTCAGTTACCGGCAATCAGCGCTTGGTATAAACAGTCTGCGGAATGCAGTGCAGTCCAGTACAGTGCACTGTACTACAGTGTTAGTGCAGCACACTGCAATTTTTTTCTCAAAGTGATGTACCCATCTCCCTCAATCAGCTATCTTCACTAAGCTCACACCCACCCACCCCATCAGAACATGATACACCACCAAAAATTACCACAGCATTCCATATATTACAAAATAAACATGGAAAATTGAAACAAATGCCTCTCGAATCTAGCTACCACGAGTTGGGTTAAAGTCAAACTACCGTAGGTGCTGCGCCGCGTGGGTCTGACCTGATACCAGCATGTTTGCGTATCCTTCTAAGAAAACACTGCAGTAGATGGCCAAGAGGTGGATGTACCATGTATGAGAGAGCCTAGTGTAATGGAGAACTAACAGGAGAGGAGGGGAGGGCCATAATAAGGACAGGAGGGGTTTTTTGGTCGACATTAAAGAGGAGAGGAGAGGAGAGGAGAGAAGGAGAGGGGAGGAGGGAAGATGAGCAGAGAGGAGAGGAGGAGAGGGGAGGAGGGAAGATGAGCAGAGAGGAGAGGAGAGGAGAGGAGAGGAGAGGAGAGGAGAGGAGGGGAGAGGAGAGGAGAGGAGAGGAGAGGAGAGGAGAGGAGAGGAGGGGAGAGGAGAGGAGAGGAGACAAAGAAGGCCATTCTTTGCTTGGAATGCCGCGAACAACACCGTACATGCTCATGCCATGCCAACCTCAAAGCCATTCCATGCGGAGGTACGGTAATGAGGTGCGGTGATGAGAGGCCAAGAACACGCCAGGAAGATGCCAGCCACACGCCAGCCACCTGCCAGCCACACGCCAGCCACCTGCCAGCCACACGCCAGCCACCTGCCAGCTTCTAGAGTCGACTACACAGGAACCCATCCACCAATGGTGTACGTGCAGACGGGCTCTTGAGCCCTCCGCCCGCTCAAGTGCAGGCTGCCAGGCTCTCACTCAGCAGATGCCCTTGAGTTGATTGAGACCCCTAAAATGCAGGCGTATTGGTGCGAGTGCAGGTGTGCACTCGCTCTCACTCTCAGCAAATGTTATTTCTCTGGTCCGCTCCGCTGGCAGCAAAGTTTGGAGCCTTGATTAGAACCACTTGGCACTTAGCTAAGTGCTGGAGCTGGAGAGGGCAACGCCTGCCAGGAACGGCTGGTTGGAACCCTTGTTGGGCGACAGAATGCCCTGCCATTGGCACAGCCAGGTTAAAGGGGGAAGATGGGGTGGGGGGGACGGCGGAAGGGGGGATGGGGGGAAGGTGGAAAGGAGGGGACGGGGGGCGGGGGAGTTGGTTGAGAAAGGTGCATGTGATATCGCTCACAAAACTGCAGAAAATACCACTTGCGTCGTACTTAGTGGCACTTAAAAGCAACCCAGCCATGAACACTGTACAACAGTTACTTCCGCGCACTTAATTCCGCGCTCCAAGCAAAGATCACTTCAATGTACATGTTAACACTCAGCAACCCAGCCATGTTACTTCTGCTGCTCCTGCTGCTCCTGCTGCTCCTGCTGCTCCTGCTGCTCCTGCTCCTGCTGCTCCTGCTGCTCCTGCTGCTCCTGCTGCTCCTGCTGCTCCTGCTGCTCCTGCTGCTCCTGCTGCTCCTGCTGCTCCTGCTGCTCCTGCTGCTCCTGCTGCTCCTGCTGCTCCTGCTGCTCCTGCTGCTCCTGCTGCTCCTGCTGCTCCTGCTGCTCCTGCTGCTCCTGCTGCTCCTGCTGCTCCTGCTGCTCCTGCTGCTCCTGCTGCTCCTGCTGCTCCTGCTGCTCCTGCTGCTCCTGCTGCTCCTGCTGCTCCTGCTGCTCCTGCTGCTCCTGCTGCTCCTGCTGCTCCTGCTGCTCCTGCTGCTCCTGCTGCTCCTGCTGCTCCTGCTGCTCCTGCTGCTCCTGCTGCTCCTGCTGCTCCTGCTGCTCCTGCTGCTGCATGTCCCTCAGTGTTCATGGTGCCACAGTTTACACACACTCACCGCATTAGAACGGTGTGCCTATGCAGCAGACTCTGAATCCACATGCACACGCATCTGCTCCTGCTGCTGCTGCTGTTGTTGTTGCTGCGTCTGCCTCAGTTGATTGACATGGTATCACATAACTAAGTTCACACACACTTACCGCATTCGAGCCGTGTGCCTCTCAGCAGACTCTGAATCCACATGCACATGCATCTGCTCTTGCTGCTGCTGCTGCATGTCGCTGTTGCTGCTGCACGTGCCTCAGAGGACATGGTAACACGTAAGATTACACACACTCACCGCATTGGCGCCGTGTGCCTCTGCAGCAGCCTCTGAATCCACATCCACATGCATCTGCTCTTGCTGCTGCTGCTGCAAGTCGCTCTGCTGCTGCCGGCGCTGCTGCACTAGGCGGCAGCAGGTGAAGGAGACAGCTAGGAGGATAATGGTGAGGGCGATGAGCAGACAGACGGTAAAGAAGGAGGAACCCCACGTGGTGTCGGAGGGAGCGGGCTGCTGGGTGGCTGTGTGGGGAGGGGCAGGGAGGCAGATGAGAGACGGATGTGCGGAGGCTGGTGAGGGCGATGAGCGGACAGACGGTGAAGAATGATGAACCCCACGTGGTGTTGGAGGGAGGGGGCTGCTGCTGGGTGCCTGTGTGGGAGGGGAGGGGTGGGGGGGGGAGGGGCGTGGGGAAAGGTAGGGAGATGGAAGAATGAAGGCGAATGGTAGGAGAATGGTGAGGGCTGTGAGCAGACAGACGGTGAAAGGAGGAACCCCACGTGGAGTCGGAGAGAGGGGGCTGCTGGGTGGCTGTGTGGGGAGGGGCAGGGAGGCAGATGAGAGACGGATGTGCGGAGAATGGTGAGGGCGATGAGCAGGCAGATGGTGCAGAAGGAGGAACCCCACGTGGTGTCGGAAGAGGAGGGCTGCTTGGTGGCTGTGTGGGGGAGGGAGGGGAGGGGAGGGGAGGGGAGGGGAGGGGAGAGGAGGGGAGGGAGGGGAGGGGAGGGAGGGGAGGGGAGGGGAGGGAGGGGAGGGGAGGGAGGGGAGGGGAGGGGGGGGAGGGGAGGGAGGGGAGGGGTCACAGAATGGGCAGTGCCATTTGCCCGCACCTGGAGATCGAGGAGGAGATGAGGGGAGGGAAGGGAGGCAGATGAGAGAGAGAGAGTGTTATGAGGTGATGTGAGGTGAGGTGAGGGGCGGGGAGGAGAGGGGAGGAGCGTCAGAATGGGCAGCGCCATTGCACGCAGCTGGAGATCGAGGAGGTGATGAGATGAGGGGAGGGAAGGGGAGTTTTCAAGGGTTGCTGGGACACTGGGAGTGGTGCATGGGTGGAGAGAGTGGTTGGGTAGGTGCTTCGTGGAGTTGAAGTTCTGGTGGCAGCTTTTTTATTTCACTTGTAATTCACCTTGAGATGAAGTGTTTAGGTCTGTGACGTCCCAAAACTTGTGTGGGTGTGGTGAATAGAGTGGGCGGGTGGTGGGTGGATGGGTGGGTGCGTGCCCCGTGGGAGTGGAGTCTGAGTCGACTCAGAATTGACTGACTGCTGCTTTGTGCGCCAACCACTCAGAATCCACCTTAAGTTTGAGTGACTAGCGCACGCAAGCAGCTGAATAGGCTTACCAGCAGCAGCAGCAGCAGCAGCAGCAGCAATCTCCGGAGGGGGGGAGTAGAATTGGGCACACGTGGCAGCATCCAACTGGCCGTCAGCAGCAGCAGGCATGTCTGACGGGGAGGTCGCAGAGGAGAAGCAGTTGAAGAAGTACCTGGGGGGAGGGGGGGGGAGGAAGGGTGGAGGAGGAGGTTGGGAGCGGTGAAGAAGGGTGAAGAGGGATTTGAAGGGAAGGAGAGGGGGATTGCAAGGAGTGCAGAGCGATGGGGGGAGGATGCAGAGGAGAAGCAGTTGAAGAAGTACCTGGGGGGAGGGTGGGAAGGGTGGGAGGGGGTGGAAGGGGGTGGAAGGGGTGTAAGCTTGATTGGCAGGAGAGTTGCGTCGCAATGAGTGCAGAGCACATGGGGGGGGGGGGGAGGATGCAGCGGAGAAGGTGGGTGGGGAGAAGTACCTGGGGGGAGGGGGGGGAGGAAGAGAGCAGGGGAGGGAGGGGGTTGAATTGAAGGGCAGGACTGAGTGCAGGTTAGAGGGAGGACCATGCAGAGGTGAAGCAGTTGAAGAAGTACCTGGGGTGAGGGTGGGGGAGAGGAAGGGGGGTGGGAGGGGGTGGGAGGGGGTGGAAGGGGTGGAAGGGGTGGAAGGGGTGGAAGGGGTGGAAGGGGTGGAAGGGGTGGAAGGGGTGGAAGGGGTGGAAGGGGTGGAAGGGGTGGAAGCATGATTGGCAGGAGAGTTGGGTCGCAACAAGTGCAGAGCAAGTGGGGAGGAGGATGCCGAGGTGAAGCAGTTGAAGAAGTACCTGGGGGGAGGGTGGGGAGAGGAAGGGGGTGGGGAGAAAGTGGGGGAAGGGGGGGGTTTGATTGATTAGGTGGGGATAGGATAGTGGAGGGAGTAAAATGGGTGAGGGGTGAATAGAAGGGAGCTGGCGTGCAGGAGAGAGGGGTCGCAAGGAGTGCGGAGCAGGAGAGAGGGGTTGCAGGGAGTGCGGAGCAGGAGAGAGGGGTTGCAAGGAGTGCGGAGCAGGAGAGAGGGGTTGCAAGGAGTGCGGAGCAGGAGAGAGGGGTCGCAAGGAGTGCGGAGCAGGAGAGAGGGGTTGCAAGGAGTGCGGAGCAGGAGAGAGGGGTCGCAAGGAGTGCGGAGCAGGAGAGGGGAGGAGGGCGTATTGGTGAAGCAGTTGAAGTAGCACCGAGGGGGAAGGCAGGCAGGGGAGGGGGGCTATGACTTTTGAGTCGACTCAAAAGTCAACTTGGAGCAGGAGAGGGGAGGAGGGCGTATAGGTGAAGTAGTTGAAGTAGCACCGAGGGGGAAGGAAGGCAGGGGAGGGGGTCCAAGTGGGGGGGTTGTTGCGGAGTTACATATCAGGAGAGAGGGGTAGCAGGGAGTGCAGAACGGTTGTGGACGATGCACCTGAGAGCAACAGAGGGTCACCTGAGAGCAACAGAGCATCACCTGCGAGCAACAGAGGATCACCTGAGAGCAACATAGGATCACCTGGGAGCAACAGAGCGTCACCTGAGAGCAGCAGAGGGTCACCTGAGAGCAGCAGAGGGTCACCTGAGAGCAGCAGAGGGTCACCTGAGAGCAACAGAGCGTCACCTGAAGTCAGCCTGGCGTTCAGGTGGAGGCAGCGGCACGGAGCCGTTGAAAAAGTTGTTGGAGATGTCCCTGTGATGGGGGGGGGGGGGGTGCGGTGAGAGAGAGGGGAGGGGAAGGGGTTGTGAAGTAAAAAATAAATGACTCGTGAGATGGTTTTCGAGAATTCTCAAAAACCGTCTCGAAAGGCACGGAGACTTTGAAGAAGTAGCTTGAGATGTCACTGTGATGGGGGGGGGGAAGGAGAGGATAGAGTTGGGGGATTGAATGGAAAGGAGGGAACAACTTCTTCTGACACGTCTGAGAAGGCAAGGGGCCGTTGAGACAACTGGTGGAGATGCTTTTGAGACTTCTCAAAAGTAACACCAGCAGAGTTGGGGGATTGAGCGGAAAGCAGGGAACAACTTCTTCTGACACGTCTGAGAAGGCAAGGGGCCGTTGAGACAACTGGTGGAGATGTTGCTGTGACTGACAGGGGGAAGGGAGGAAGGAGAAAGGGGAGGAGATTGAGAGGAGAACAGGAAAACGGAAAAAGGGAGAACAGATGTTGCTCTTGAGTCGACTCAACAACAGATGTTGTTGGAGATGTAGTGTGTTGAGAAAAGGAGAGGAAAGCCACGTGAAATGAGTGAGGTTTTGTGACGTCTCAAAGAGATGTTGTTGGAGATGAAGTGTGTTGAGAGAAGGAGAGGAAAGGAGAAGTGGGAACATTAAGTTATTCGATATAATGTGGGGGGGAGCAGAGGCAACTGGAAGCTGAGGCAGAGGGCAGACGGAAGAGGGGAGAGGGACGAGGGCAAGGGGACGAGGGCAGAGGGCCATAAAGCCTTGACACCTGAGAAGCCAAAACACGATAAGGACGCATCGTACAGCATAGCAGGGCATGAAATGGCATGTGTACAGCATAGCAGGGCATGAAATGGCATGTGCACAGCATAGCAGGGCATGAAATGGCATGTGTACAGCATAGCAGGGCATGAAATGGCATGTGCACAGCATAGCAGGGCATGAAATGGCATGTGTACAGCATAGCAGGGCATGAAATGGCATGTGCACAGCATAGCAGGGCATGAAATGGCATGTGTACAGCATAGCAGGGCATGAAATGGCATGTGTACAGCATAGCAGGGCATGAAATGGCATGTGCACAGCATAGCAGGGCATGAAATGGCATGTGCACAGCATAGCAGGGCATGAAATGGCATGTGCGCAGCATAGCAGGGCATGAAATGGCATGTGCGCAGCATAGCACGGCATGTGAGGGTACTCACACATCGGTGAGGGAGGGGAAGCGCCAGAGGTCAGCAGGCAGCGGTGTTGGTGTTACTTTTGAGAATTCTCAAGAGTAACACCAACACAGCACAGCACAGCACGGCATGTGAGGGTACTCACACGTCGGTGAGGGAGGGGAAGCGCCAGAGGTCTGCAGGCAACGGACCGGAGAGGCGGTTGGAATGCAGATAGCTGTGTGGCATGGGATGGCATGGGATGGCATGGGATGGCATGGGATGGCATGGGATGGCATGGGATGGCATGGGATGGCATGGGATGGCAAGGGATGGCATGGGATGGCATGGGATGGCATGGGATGGCATGGGATGGCATGGGATGGCATGGGATGGCATGGGATGGCATGGGATGGCATGGGATGGCATGGGATGGCATGGGATGGCATGGGATGGCATGGGATGGCATGGGATGGCATGGGATGGCATGGGATGGCATGGGATGGCATGGGATGGCATGGGATGGCATGGGATGGCATGGGATGGCATGGGATGGCATGGGATGGCATGGGATGGCATGGGATGGCATGGGATGGCATGGGATGGCATGGGATGGCATGGGATGGCATGGGATGGCATGGGATGGCATGGGATGGCATGGGATGGCATGGGATGGCATGGGATGGCATGGGATGGCATGGGATGGCATGGGATGAGGGACATGGGGATGGGATGGGGGGCGTGGTAGCAGAAGCAGCAGGCATTGCAGCACGAGCAGCAGCAGGTGGGCGTGCCAGAGGTCAGCAGGCAGTGGGCCGGACAGGCGGTTGGAATGCAGATAGCTGTGTGGCATGGGGCACACGCGCTCACTCACATGTGTGGCATGGGGCACACGCGCTCACTCACATGTGTGGCATGGGGCACACGCGCTCACTCACATGTGTGGCATGGGGCACACGCTCTCACTCACATGTGTGGCATGGGGCACACGCGCTCACTCACATGTGTGGCATGGGGCACACGCGCTCACTCACATGTGTGGCATGGGGCACACGCGCTCACTCACATGTGTGGCATGGGGCACACGCGCTCACTCACATGTGTGGCATGGGGCACACGCGCTCACTCACATGTGTGGCATGGGGCACACGCTCTCACTCACATGTGTGGCATGGGGCACACGCTCTCACTCACATGTGTTGGATGTTGGGGAATTGTGTGAGGAAGGCCAGGAAGGGCCCCAAGGCAGCACAGCAGCAGAAAGTCCCCACCACTCCTCACCACTCTCCACCGCTTTCCCCACCATTACTCGCGCTCACATGTGCTGGATGGTAGAGTTGTGTGAGGAAGGCCCGGAAGCTGCATGTGGCAGCAGCAGCGGAGAATTTTCGAGGCTCGAAAATTTCCAACCACTTCGTACCCACTCCCCACCACTCCTAGCGCTCACATGTGTTGGATGTTGGGGAGTTGAGTGAGGAAGGCGGGGAAGGGCCTTGAGGCAGCAGCAGAGACCTTTCAAAGCTCAAAAGTCCCCACCCTCTCACCACCCACTCCCCACCACTCCCACTCACATATGCTGGATATTTGGGAGTTGAGTGAGGAAGGCGGGGAAGGGCCCCGAGGCAGCAGCGGAGGAGAAGGAAAAGAAGGAAAGTGACGAGAGGGCTGCCCACGAGGGAGGGAAGGCGGCCGTCACAGGCAGACGGTAGAGGGAGCTGGAGGGAGGAGGGAGAGGGAGAGGGGGAGGGGGAGGGGGAGGGGGAGGGGGAGGGGGAGGGGGAGGGGGAGGGGGAGGGGGAGGCGGAGGGAGGGGTTGTTGAGGAGAAGGAGAAGAAGGAGAGCGACGAGAGGGCCGCCCACGAGGGGGGGAAGGCGGCCGTCACAGGCAGACGGTAGAGGGAGCTGGATGGGGGGTGGGAGATGGGGAAGGGGGCGAGGGGTTGTGGGGGAGAAGGAGAAGAAGGAGAGAGATGAGTGGGCAGACCACGAGGGAGTAGGTGGCCATCACAGGCAGACAGTAGGGGGAGCTGGAGGGAGGAGGAAGGTGGGTGTTGGGGACAAAGCAGGAGAGGGATAATAAAAAGGAGGGATGGAGGAGGGAAGGCAAGTGTCACATGCAGGCGGGACGCTTGCAGTAGTGTGTGGGGGGTAGATCACAACGGTGGGGGGTAGATCACAACGGTGGGGGGTAGATCACAACGGTGGGGGGTAGATCACAACGGTGGGGTGGCCCTTACAGCACTTGCAGTTTGGTGAGCTGACTCCAGGCTTCAGGAGGCTGGCCCTGAAAATGGTTGTCACCCAGGTCGCTGGTGGGGAGGGAGAGAGAAGGGGCAGATGAGTGAGGGAGGGAGGGAGGGATGGAGGGAGAGATTGAGAGAGCGAGCGAGTGAGTGCGTGAGGGATTGAGAATGGAAACAGGAAATAGGAAGACAGAGAGGAAGCCCTTGCAAAACGCATGCAGGCCAGGTCAGAGCAACCCAAGTTAGTCCAAACGCATGCACGTGAACTTGAGAGGATTCAAGTCAAATCCAGTCAACCCAAGTCAACTCCAGTCAACCCATGTCAAATCCAGTCAACCCAAGTCAACTCCAGTCAACCCCAGCCAAATATAGTCAACGCAAGTCAATTCCAGTCAACCCAAGTCAAATTTAGTCAACCCAAGTCAACTCCAGTCAACCCAGGACAACTCCAGTCAACCCACAGTGTCACAAGGCCGGTGAGCGCGCCAAGTTCTTCGGGCAGCTGGCCAAGAATTTGGTTCTGCCCGAGAACGAGTGAAGAGAGGCGAGAGAGGGCAGAGAGGCCCGAGGGGAGCGATCCAGTGATGCGATTCATGTCTAGGTGCCTGCAGGCGGGAGGGGGGAAGGGGAAGGTGGCAAGGGGGGGCGGCAGGAAAGGCAAAGGGGAGGGCGAGGTTTGATGAATTCCCAGGCAACACTGCACGGAGGGGAGCGAGCCAGTGATGCGGTTCATGTTCAGATGGCTGGAGGGAGGGTGGCGGGGGAAGGTTTTTGAGACGGGAGGGTTGCAAGTACAGGGGAGGGTTGCGAGCACAGAGGAGGCAGCACTCACAGGGTCTCAAGGGCGGTCATGGCTGTGACGGCTTCAGGCAGCGAGTCGATGCGGTTGAACGTGAGGTTGCTGCAAGTGTGGGTGGATTCAGACCAGATAGGAGCGGGGAAAGGGGCGGAATTGGAGAGGGGGGGAGTGGGGACGAGAGGGGGGAGCGGAAGAGAGGGAGGAGGGGGGAAGAGAGGGGGGATAGGGGAAGAGAGGGGGAGGGTTGATTTAAGGTTGGTGTATCTGCAAGGGGGAATGTCAGCGGTGGGAACCTGGAAGAATCAGGAGCATGAGTGACAATTGAGAGAGCTAGTTTAAAGGAGTCTTACCAAGAGGGGAACTGGAAGGAGCGGGGGAACGAGTGGCGAATGAGAAAGAAGATATACAGGACGTCTCAAAAAGAGGAGAAGTGAAAGAAGAAGGGTGCATGAGTGATTAATGAGAAAGACCCAGTAATGCACAGGTGTTGAGGCTTAGAAGCAAGGCAGCAGCAGCGGAGACAGCAGCATCAGCCACCTCATTCCCATTCAAGTCAACCAGCTGCAGCCGCTGCAGCGCCGTCAACCTCTTTCCCCCCTTCCCCTCCCCAATACAAGCCAAGTGCTTACAGGTGCTTGAGGTTGGGAAGTAGCGCCGTCTCAGGGGAGACAGCAGCACCAGCCACCTCATTGCCACTCAAGTCCACCCGCTCCAGCCGCTGCAGCGCCGTCATTCTTCCCCACGGGATCTCCCCCCTCAGCGGCCCCACCACCCCCGCCGCTACAGCCGCAGCTACAGCCTGCTGGCTTGCTCCCCGGGCTGTTAGCTGCTGCGCTACAGCCGCTGGAGTGGCTCCTCTGGCCCAGGACGCGTTGAGAGACGCCACGAGAGGGTTGCTCATGTCACTGGTGGGGTGGGGGGAAAGGTAGGAGGTGTGGGGGTGTGGGGGTGTGGGGGTGTGGGGGTGTGGGGGTGTGGGGGTGTGGGAGTGTGGGCGGTCAGCTGCTGCGCTACAGCCGCTACGCGTTGAGAGACGCCAAGAGAGGGTTGCTCAAGTCACTGGTGAAGTGGGGGTGTTGGGGGTCGGGTGGGGGGAGAGAAGGGCAGGAAGGAACAAGGGAAGGGGGAAAGAGGAGGGAAATGTGCCCTGTTAGCTCCCTGTCACCCCACCCGTCACACCCGTTGCTCTGCTACAGCCGCCGCTACAGCCTGCTGGCTGGCGCCCCGGGCGGTCAGCTGCTGCGCTAGAGCCGCCGCAGTGGCGCCTCTGGCCCATGACGCGTTGAGGGATGCTAAGAAAGGGTTGCTCATGTCGCTGATTGGGGAGGGTGTGGGGAGGAGGGGGTGGGGGGGGGAGGGGGTCGGGGGAGGAGGGGGTGGGGGGGGGGAGGGGGTGGGGGGGGGGAGGGGGTGGGGGGAGGAGGGGGTGGGGGGGTGTGGGCGATCAGCTGCTGCGCTACAGCCGCCGCAGCGGCGCCTCTGGCCCATGAGGCGTTGAGGGATGCCAAATCAAACCACCCTACCGCAACCCACCGCACACAGTCCCACTTCAACCCACGGTCACCGCACATCACCACATGGCACCCCACGTCACCGCACGGCACCACTCACATGGCAACAACGCGGCCTGAGGAGTCGCAGGTCACAAACTGCCACGTGTCAGCGCAGGGCTGCGACAGCTGGCCCTGGCGATTGGGCGAGGGGGCGTCAGACCACCTCCCTGCCAGGGAGAAGGCCGGATGATCTCCCAGGGCTTGCTTCAGCGCCAGCAGCGCGGTTGCTGTGGGGAGAGTGGGGCAAGGGGACGGGTGGGGCACGGCGAGGGGAAAGGCGAGGCGATTGGGCGAGGGGGCGTCAGACCACCTCCCCGCCAGCAGCGCACAGGCTGGGGGGAGGAAAGGGCGAGGAGGGGGGGAAGGGGGAGGGGGAGGGGGAGGGGGAGGGGGACGCGAGGCGGAGGGGGAGGGGAAAGGGGAGGGGGAGGGGCACGGGGAGGGCGAGGCGGAATGGGAGGGGAAGGCGGTCACGTCACGACCGTACTCTCTCCTCCGCATCCCTCGCCTCCTTTACTGACTCTCGCCTCCTCGACTCAACCAAAAAAAAAAAAAAAAAAAGTCTCATATCTTGCCTCCTCATCCCTCTCCTCCTCCACTCACTCTCGGCCGAAACGATTTCTTCCGACGCGGGCGGCTCCTGAAGAACGCGGCGACCCGAAACGCCACGTGCGGCGTCAAGTGCGGCGGAGGTGGCGCAAGACGGAGACAGCAGCGTCGCGAGGAGCAGGAGGGCGCAGAAAGGGACGAGACACGTCGGTAGCGGCGAGCGTGACGACGGGGATGACGTCATCGCGATTGTAGCAGGGACGGCCACGTGGCCGGCCACGTGGACGCAGCAGTGAGCGCTGCTAATGAGTGACTGTGAGACAACGGCTACAACGCTCCGTGCCCTAGACCACTGGGCGGAACGAGAGGTTATCCAGAGGTCGCGCGGTGCGTTCGCAGTTAGGAGATACCGGCGTCACAACGGCGGTTTGAGATACCGGCTACTACCCGACAAGAAACAAGATATTACGAGTCAAGAAACAAGAGATTCGATACCGGTTACGCGACAAGATATTCGGCTAACGTCTAGCCGAATGGAAAGAAACCGCAACGGTTGATTGCGAGCGTCTGAGGCAAAAAAGGGAGTATGAAAAGTCGGCTATGGCGGAAAACAACAAAAGAAACATGCTACAAGATCAACAAAGGCTGTGAAGCACGGAACCCATCGAACCTTTCGTGAGCTCCTGCTGGGTGGACATCATTTCGGGACTTGTGTAGGGACGGAGCTGAGAGGCAGACATGAATCTGGCAGTTCGCGTGGTGGTTATCGGTGTGAGGGAGGTTTCTCGTGGCGCGCTGGGCTGCAGTAACGACAACGACATGGAGGGTTGAGAAACGACAATCGTCCGCCAGCCTGGTTGACTCGAGGTTGGCGAAGAATGAGGAAACTGGTTGGCGAAAGGTCGAGGCGTGTTCTTGGTTGGTGAAAGGTCGAGGGCTGTGGTTGGCGAAAGATTGGGGCGTGTGGTTGGCGAAACGTCGAGGCGTGAGTTGTGGCGAAGCCGAAAGACTTTGCTGCTGTGATGAATGAAGGGAAATTATACGAGTAGTCACAAACATTGGCTCGCTATCACGGCTGGTCAATCGGCTATCGCGAACAGTCACAGAATCTAGGTAATCTATCACGGATGATCAGACGATTATCACGGATAGTCACACGTTGCCCCACGACTCTATCACGTATGGTCACACGATGAAACGATCATTGGAAACCTTAAACTACGTGAGTAACTCTAGAGATACAGGGAAAGTTATCTCGCGCGCGAAAAACCGTTACCTACGAAAAAACAAATCGCGACCACTTTCGCGAACTCGTTTAAAATACAGTTTTGTCTTATACGCATATCTTAGTTACATCCGTAGCTAGCCGCGAATCAAAGCCATTTAAATCGAGATGTAGTGACATAGCTGGCTACAAACAGCTTAAATAATATAAACTGAATCTTTAGCATAATTTAAACCGTCCGAAACAAAATACAAAAAAAAAACATTCATACCAGTGGATTTCGGTATCAACCCTAAACACCTTGTCGTATGGAGTTTAGGGTTCATGCCCCCCTCGGATGGCATGCCATCCAAGCGGGTTGTACTTTTACTTTTTTTTTTCATGCAAATTCATAGCAGACAAATTCCTTTAATCTTCACCGCCGCGACTCGTTACAAAAATAACCAAACTAAGAAATATAGGACAAAACAAGTTGTGAATTAAAAGTCCATCAATCTCAACAGTTTAATGTTGTTTCAGCTTGCAGATCGCGCGTTTCGTCTTGTGACGAAACGTGATAAAATTGTGGGATAGCATGTGACCTTCTGTGATAGCCGAGTGAGTATTCATGACAACGACCCCTTGTTTGTGACTATCTATATAATAGCCCATGAATGAAGGGTGGCTTGAGTTGGTAAAGCAATTACGGGTTAGAGTTTTGCTGCAAAAACGGGGAGGAAATGACTAACCGCCCCGTTTGTTAATTTTCGATTCCAACGGGCAGTGGTTTTTACAGCGCATCGCTCTGCGCTCGCGCCCAATTCCCAAGGGCAGCTTGCTTTCTCAATATACGTTTCTTGGGGCAAAAAATAATAAACCCTCTACGGAAAGGCACGTAAACAAGGGACGCATCAACCCCAAACACCTTGCTGCATAGTGTTTGGGGTTGATGCCGCACAGGCTGACATGCCTTTCCTGAGAGGAATTATTGTTTTTTTGCCCCGTAAAATAACTTAAAATGTGTATTGAGGCCCACGAACTGGCCGTGGGAATTGGCCGCGAGCGCAAAGCGCTACGCTGTCAAAGCTACTACCCATTGGAATTGAAAACTAGAAAAAGGGGCGATTCGTCATTTCCTCAATAACGGGTTTCTCGCGAATGTTTTGTACGCGTAGTATAGCTAATGCTCATTTGAGTCCCCCATACTTGCATTACATTTTGGGCTTTTATGTGAATCGTGCATTTCGCAAGGGTTCGTCGACATCGCAGCTAGAAAAATTGGGCTTGTAAAAAACTCAAGAGTTACACGTTGACAGTTTGACGTCGGTCCATTCTTTACCATTGGTTCATCATCACTGCATTTACTGTTTTGCTCCATGCGTTGCCATGTTGACGAACCATCTTCCTGGTGCAACTTGCTCGGGGGGCTTGTAAACCGGGTGCAACTTTCCGGCACCAATTGCTCGTGGGCAGGGAATCGAATATGGGTAGGGCAATTTCGCGGGCAGCAATTGAGCATCATGTGTACAATAGTATAAATCCGCTGACGTACTCGAATTCTTGTCCAGTAAGAAGCCCGATCCAGGCAATGGGGGGCAAATTGTCGATCCAGGACGCGCCATAATTGTCACACCGGCTGAGGATCGGGACCACACACCGAAATCGCGAGCATCGATCGCCACAGATGTGTTCTACACTGCGGGGGACACGATCGTCTAGAGGATCCATTTTTTGCGTCCTCGTTGAGCGTTTCACGCACGGTGGGAAGTGCCAGCATCCGGCGCATCAGGTTGTAGGCCATGGGGAGGCCCTTGACGACGTGGGTGACATACGACGCCACCAAGTAGTCCACGCCGACCATCCGCAGGTCGGCCAGAATTCGTCCAGCACGATTGCAGTACTCGGTCGCCGACTCCTGCTTGCCCATCCGAATGTTGGTCAACCGCTGCTCCAGATGGCTGATATACAAGTCGTCGGTCGCCTTGTAGGTGCACATTATGAATTGTCACGCTTCGCGGCCGACGTCCACCCGGATTCAGCACAGCTTCAAGGCGACTTTGCACCATCGGCTAGCAGCACCTCGAGATGACCAGTAGGTGAGCGACGCAAAATTTCGCCTGGAGCTGGACATCGGCCTCGTCCGGCGTCTCCACGTCGTCGTTGGCGAACGACTTCAGACCGCCGATCTCCATATGCGGCTCAATGGACTCCGTCCACGTAATGAGGTCGTGCCGACCTTCGAGCAGCTGGGGCACGTCGATCGTATCCGGCGAAAACTTGAAGTAGTCGTACGCCCGCGTTCTCGACCAGCCAACCATGAGTTGTCGAAGTCGGCTTGACTCGGCTACGCTAGGGATAGCGGCGGCGTCCGCCGACGTAGCCTTGCGGGCTGCATGCAGCCGCCGTCGACCGCAACCGTCGCGCCTGCATACCGCCGACATCGACGTCGGCAGCCTTGATCACTCCACGAGTCACCCTCGTATCTTCGCTGACTTGGTCATCGACGCCGCCTTCGGTGTGCACGAGTCAGGGAGAGGTGGACGCATCGTCCGCTTCAGGTCGGGGAGGGTGCTCTCGCGCCCACTGGGCACGATTGCATAGGAGCATCACCTCCAGGCTTGCCTCGCCGTACTCGCCAGCATCGTAGCACCTCCGAACATCAGCCTCCCGCGCCGCCAGGGTATCATCTACGCTTGCAGCTTCTCCTAGGATGGCCACCATGGGCTACACGGCTGCTGTCCTAATAACGACCTAGGTATGCGATAAATCAGCTAGTATCTGAAGGTATCTTGCGGGGCCGTCCACGCTCATCGCACCATGCGAAGAGTAAATCTACACCAGGGTAGCTGAATTACGAGAGAATGCACGGGTGGTACGAGTGATCGATGCGTTGTTCGTGTTCTCTAGCACTTGCGTGTTCGCATGGCAAATTGGCAAGAGTTTCACTAGGAAAAGTTGAGAACAATGATGCAAAAGCAATGGCAAATTTTGACTACATCTGGCTATCGCCTCTGCGTAAGAGCTGTGAAAATGAACGAGGAATGAAAAGACTAAGGGAAAGTTGGGTACAAGTACAAACCCTAGAAAGCTGTACCCCATATGTGCTACCCCACTATAGCCTACAGTAGCTAAGTCATATAAATCTGACACACCCCCATAGGCAAAGTGGGGGAGGACAAGGGGTCACAAGACCAGTCAAGCAAAGCAAAGCAAGCTCAGGGTGGATCACAACGTCACCACACATTCCGAGCACAAGTTCAAGGCCACAAGGCCAGTTCACATGCAGGATTACATATATATATAAGGCTAAACAAGCAAGAGCAGGTGTATATATATATGTAACAGTACAAACAAGGTCAAGGGGTGAGCAAGTGAGGCAAGGTAGGCACAAGACCCAGCTGAGTACAGAAGCGCTGATGATCACAAGGCGCAAGTGCCTTGGTGAAGATATCAGCAGTGTTGGCCTGAGAGGCCACGTACGCAAGGCGTAGCTGACCACGCTGCTGTAGCTCACGAGCAAGGAAGTAGCGAAGAGCAATGTGATTCGTTCTGTGCTCCAGTCTCTGCTCCCGACACAAGGCCAGCATGGCCTTGTTGTCTACGTACAGCGCTGGAGGAGAACGAGGCAGCTCTCCGAGGTCAGTCAGCAGGTAGGTGAGCCAGCGAAGCTCCTGTGCAGCCATGGCCCCTGCGTAGATCTCAGCCTCACAACTGGAGCCGAGAACAGAAGACGAGCGGGTAGCCCGCCACGAGACAGAGCCCGAACCAAGGCTGAAGGTGTAACCCTGTGACGACCGCTGCGTAGCCTGGTCGTCAGCCCAAGAAGCGTCTGCGTGCCCAGTGAGGACCACTGGACTCTGCCCTCCAAGCACAAGCCCCATGCCCGACGTACTGCACAAGTAGCGCAACACCCTCTTCGCTGCAGCCATGTGCTCCGGTCTGTGTCTCCCAGGAGCAACATAGCGTGCGAGAATGCTAAGAGGGTATGCACGGTCAGGTCGAGTGCAGGTCATCAGGTACATGAGGCAGCCAACAAGCTC